ATTATAGCATCCATAGCCCACAACATCTTTTCCCAGATCTTTTCTCTCCTTGATTGCTGCTTGTCTCCCTTACCTTGAAGTAAATTGGAAGTAATTTTATGAAAATCTATAAATTTATTGTGATATAAACGAAGCCTTGGGTTTGTGTTATGCAGAATGGAAAAGTAAGTGATTGTACTGGTTCCCTTAGTCCTTAAAAGCTACAATTAGGATCGGATGGAGAGTTTTCATTAAGACTGTTTGTAAATAGATTTTGGTTCTCCCACACAAGTTTACTCACAATTCAACTCACAAATCAATTTCTACATAAAATAAAGTTTTTAATTTTTTACGTAAGTGAATGCAAAAATCCTTTTCTGCCTGCCTTTGGTGCTCCCCTGAAATTATTTTCATGACATTTCTTTCTTACTGTCCTGTTGTGGTCTTCCACAGGAACTTCAACCTGCTTCGTATATCTCCCTTCACAGTCAACTCCCCATACCCCCCCCATGCTGCACTTTATCTTAAGATGAAGAAATATGAAAGATGAAAAATGATGAAAGATCATGAGAGAAATTATCCAGCTAGGGAATTCAGGCTCTGAGTAAGAGAAGAGGCTTTTATGACACATTTCAGTGTCTTTCTGAAGAAGAAGCACACAAGTTGCATGCTTTTGCTTGAAAACTCAAAACTGAAGGAATAGAAGTCCAATTTTTTATCTAGTTTGATCCAGATGTTCATATATGTGGTTAGGTCAAGCTAAATAACACTTTCATAATATCTTAAAGGATATTAGTGATAGCAAAGGAAAAAATGTTACCTTTTCAGATGCACAGCTTTGTATCTCTGTTAGTTGTTATATCTGTAAGCCCTGAATTTCCTTTAAATATGGCTACAAGTAACATTGAGTTCCAATGGCCTGTTCTTTTTCAAGGAATGATCACCTATGCCATTATTCATTGATTTCTGTTTTTCGTGTCTAGTTTCAGTCTGCCATGTTGCAGCAGCAGATTGTTACTTCTTATGTTTTGCATTAGGTTGCACTGAGAGTATTTTTCTCCAGTCCTGTATCTAACAAGCTTCTATATGCTTGAAGATGGTTATGCCCTCTTTGGCTTAAAGGTCCCACTCTTCTTTCATTCTCTGTAGGACCTGTTCTTTCACTTTCTGATTTTGCTTTGATGTATTTCCCCAATGGGCCACTTGGCCTTAGCAGAGCTAGATAAAATATGAGTTTGCAAATTAAACTGAAAAGATTCTACAACAGAGTTTGTTGCTTGGGCCGAGCCAGGAGCAACCCTCCACCCCCCACCATCATACACAGGCATCTCCTGGGGAGCACAAGCAACCAGGACCGTGGCAAACAAGGTAGGCAAACACGGTGTGGCACAGCAGTCAGGGTGTGGCATGGCAGTTTGTGCAGCAATGCACACAGGCAGGGTGCAGCAGCAAGCTCATGGCAAACAAGTCATGGCAAACAGTTGGCGGAAGGCCACATCCACACTTAGCAAAAAGGAGGTGGGGACCCAAAGCGAGCTTCTGAAAAAGCATGTAGCCATCCAAAGGTCAGGCTGCAGGGAGTGCCAAAGCTTCACACCATCTTTGGGCAGCTGCAGATATAACAATTAAGTGAGATGTGAGCAGGTGGAAGACCTGGTCAGCATGGTAGCTGAGCTACAAGAAGAGGTGGAAAAACTGAGGGGCATCTGGGATTCAGAGGGTGGTGCCAAGCTCTGACCTCTGTCAAGAGAAGAGGCACCAGGAATTCCCCAACAAGAAGGGAATGCACTATCCATTCCCCAGCAGACACACGCAGAAGCTGCAAGGATGTGAATAGATGGAAACAAATCCAGGCTCGAGGTGGCAGGAGAAATTTGCCTTCATGCTATTAGGTAGCCCTGAGCAATACGTGTGAGGCCCTGGAGGCTGAAAGGCAATAGATGGATGGAGAAGGTGACGATTCCTCTCCACCAGAGATACAGCCAGGGTCAGAAAGGCCAACCCCCAGTATCGCAACCACTGGCAGGAGGAAAAAAAGGTTATGTTTTAGTTGTGGGTGATTCCACAAAAGGGGGAACAGAGGGCCACTTTGCCTTAGCAAAGCTAGATAAAATATGAGTTTGCAGATTAAACTGAAAAGACTCCTGTACGTAGAAGGGACCCTTCTCTAAGGGAAGTCTGCTGCCTTCCTTGGGCCTGGGTTAAAGACATCATCAAGAGACTTCCCACTTTGGTTCAACCCTCGGACTATTACCCTTCGGTGCTCCTACATCTGGGAGGAGAAGAAGTGGCAACGCTTAGCCCGAAGATTGTTCAGGGGGAACAATCGGTGCATCCCTATGAGAAAGAAGTCAAGCAAGGGGGGCAGGAGACCTGTGTGGATGGGCAAGGAGTTCTTGGGAAAACTTAAAAAATAGAAGAAAGCATACATATTGTGGAAGAAGGGACAGACCGCTTGGGTTGGAATATAGGAACATTTTCAGAGAATGCAAGGATGCAACGAGGAAGGCCAAGGTCCGGATAGAATTAAATTTAGCAAGAGAAATCAAGGATAACAAGAAGGGCTTCTTCAAATACATAGCAGCAAAAGGAAGACTAAGGAAAATGTGGGTGTGCTGCTAAATGAGGTGGCTGCCTTGGTGATGGCAGATACAGAGAAGGCGGAGTTACAGAACGCCTTCTTTGCTTCAGTCTTCACTGCTAAGACTAGCCCCCATGCACTACTGAGCCAGGAAACAATAGAGAAAACCTGGAGAGAGGAAGATTTTTTATTGGTTGAAGAGGATTATGTTAGAGGTTATTTAGGCAAGCTAGACATCCACAGATCTATGGGCCCCGATGGGATGCACCCGAGAGTGCTGAGGGAGTTAGCGGATGTGATTGATGGCCTACTTTCCATCATCTATCAGTGGTCATGGTCATCTGGAGAGGTCCCATGTGACTGGAGCCTTGCTAGTGTGACACCCATCTACAAGAAGGGTTGTAAGGAGGACCCAGGTAACTACAGGCTTGTCAGCCTGCCCTTGGTGTCAGGAAAAGTGATGGAACAGGTCATGTTGAATGCAATCACACAGCATGTACAAGACAACCAGGGGATCAGACCCAGCCAGCATGGGTTCATGAAAGGCAGCTCTTTCCTGACCAACTTCATCTCCTTCTATGACTGGGTGAGCTGCCTGATGGATGAAGGAAAGACTGTTAACATAGTCTACCTAGACTTCAGCAAGGCCTTTGACACAGTCTCCTACAGTATTCTCTTGGAGAAGCTGGAAGCCCATGGCTTGGACAAGTACACCCTTTGCTGGGTTGCAAACTGGCTGGACCGCCAGGCCCAGTGGTGAACGGAGTGAAGTCTAGCTGGAGACTGGTCACCAGTGGTGTTCCCCTGGCGTTGGTGTTGTGGCCCATCCTCTTTCATATCTTTATTGATGATTTGGATGAGTGCACCCTCAGTAAGTTTGCAAACAACACCAAGTTGTGGGGAAGCATCAATTTGCCAGAGGGTAGGAAGGCCCTGCAGAAGGACCTGGACAGGATGGGTCGATGGGCAGTGGCCAATGGGATGAGGTTCAACATGCCTAAGTGCTGGGTCCTGACTAAACCTAGAAACACTACAGGCTTGGGACAGAGTGGCTGGAAAGCTGTGCAGAGGAAAAGGATCTGGAGGTGTTGGTTGACACTTGCCTGAACATGAGCTGGCAATGTGCCCAGGTGGCCAAGAAAGCCGACAGCATCCTGGCTTGTATGAGAAATAGTGTAGCCAGCAGGACCGGGGAGGTGATTGTTCCCCTGTACTCTGCTCAGGTGAGGCTGCACCTTGAGTGCTGTGTTTAGTTTTGGGCCCCTCAAATCAAAAAAGACATTGAGACCCTGGAGTGTGTCCAGAGAAGGGCTACGAAGCTGGTGAAGCATCTGGAACACAAGTCCTGTGAAGAGTGGCTGAGGGAGCTGGGGTTGTTTAGTCAGTTGAAGAGGAGGTTCAGGGGAGACTTTATTGCTCTCTACAACTACGTGAAAGGAAGTTGCAGTGAGAAGGGTGTCAGTCTCTCTTCTCAGGTGACAAGTGACATCCCTCAAGTTGTACCAGTGGAGGTTTAGACTGGCTATCAGAAAAGATTCTGACCTAATTGATTCTGTGATCCTGTGGTCTTTATACCACCTCCTATTGTATTGCTATTTCAGCTGTCCCTTTTGATATATATATATATATATATATTTTAATAATTATTTCTCATATCAAGAAGCTATCCATTCTGGGGTCAAACACAATGGGATGAATTGCACCATTATTATTTTTTGTTTGTTTGGGGGGGGGGGGGGGAGTGTTTTGTTTGTTTCTTTGTTTTTGCTTTAGCAAGTCTGCTGAATTGAAGTACATTATGAACACCATGCACAAAGTACTCTTCTACAGCTGTGACATGCTGCAGTGATGAGAACAAAGTATATTTCTTTTCTAGAGGGGTACTCAGGGAAGCTGTTCCCTGGTAGGGGGAATGTTCCTTAACAGGTATGTTAAGGTAGACATTAACATACCCTAGCACAACATTTTTCAAAATGTACTTTGGGCTACTTGAAATTTCTGAATCAAATGAATGTGAAATCAATTCTGTCTCCTGTTACCATCTTCTGTGCAAGTGAAACTGCACTTGGGACAATTTAAAATCACAAGCTTGGATGATCCTAGTTGGTCCATTTACTTTAGTCATCACCTTAAGTTCTTGTTTTGGATGAGTTGTCCTGCACCCTTCCAAACCCTTCTGCCCTGTATCATTCAGGTTACAGAGATTTCAAGTCAATGGCCTTGCCCCAGGAAGCAAGCGATCACATACTTAGTCCTGGCTGCAGTAGGGATCAAGGAGGGTATTGCAAATTTGAATTCCCCTGGCTCTCCGAGTTGACTTACTGCTGGTTCTGAGTTATACCTGCCAGAGGCGAGGTGTGATCTGTACTCTGACTGCACAGCCCCCTTTGTGTGGGCAAGGACTGGCTGTGGGTGGAGGGAGGCCGGACTGGCTCACTGTCCCGCCCCCGGGGCGCAGCCTGCTCGTCACCGGGTTATGCTATCCGTACCTGAACAAAGTTGTTTCAATCTTCCTGCACTTTTACTTCCACCCTGAGGCGTGTGTGGAACATCCGTCAGTCAGCGCGCAGGGCTTGTGTTGCACCCTCGCCTGGGGGCCTGCAGGACGTTGCAGGAGGTGAGTTGGGGGAAGGTATCTTGGGCCTGAAGTGTCAGGAGAGGAAAGATAAGAAGAGTGTGCAGAGCCAGATCACCCCCCCTAGCAATGCTGCTGGAGGAAATGCACAAAGTGACAGCTGCTTCTCCTTTCTCTCCCTGATGTCTCAACAGTGCTCTGCTCTTCCTCTATGCTCCTCCTGTTGCAAGCTCTGCTTCCTGTGAGGGAGGTCTGCAAGAGAATGCTGCCTTTGCAATTTTGTCAGGCCTGGGCAGGGTTTTAGGAGGTTCAGGGCAGCCCGCAAGTGATATCCGTTATTAGTACATTTCCTGTCCCCAAGTGCCAATCAACATTTCTGCCCATTCTCTCGGAGCTATGAGCTGCATACCTTGATGGCATAGTCTCCTGCAACATGTGTGGGAGGCACCTACTGATAAGAAACCTGGAAAAGCTCTTGTGGGAAGAGAAGCACCCCCACCTGTTTGCTTGGTGTGTGGCTGACCTGCTGACAGTGGAACAGAGGTGGCACAGGGATGTTTCTGGAGCCACTGTGAGTGTTGTATACAGCACTCGCAGCCCCTGACCCTTTTGTTAATACTCATGCTGTAAGGCAGCAGGATTAGAACCGCAGTAGTTGTCAAAAATGCTTCATTTGCTACTGCACTGCCTACTGTTGTGAACTTGAACAAGTTGCTTTAGCTCATTTTGCCTTGCTTTACATCTCTGTGTAATACTGGTACCAGTACTAGGGCAAAAAGGGGTGAGACGCTTGCAATTGGAATGACAGCTGAGTGTACTGGAGTGCCAGGTGTTGTAACTCCCACATAAAGAATATTTTATAAATGTGGTGCCCAAAAGTGCTGTAACTGATGCTCTTTGTAGTGTCTCTTCTACAGTCTTCATGTACTAGGGCAAGAAAAACAGTGTCACACAGCAAAATCACTTTATGTCCTGCATACTTCTAGAGCTGCCTAATTGATTTTCATTGTATGCTTCCCTGCAAATACAAAAGATAATTGAAGTTGTGACTGGTGACTGCCTTCAGGGTCTTCATACTGAATGCCTATGATGACAGTAAATGATAGTTAAAAAGGATACTTACCGCTACCAAGATGCTTTTATATATATACCGATACAACAGATTTTGACTAAATGTAATGTATACTAAGGTCTTTTCCAACCTTAATGATTCTAAGGCCAGGGCCTGGTGACAGGAAAGAGAATGGCTTCTTTTAGTAGGCTTATGTCAGCTTAAAATAATTATGGTGTTACATTTTATCAGCTTTAGAGAAATTTCAACATAATGCTAAAAGATAACTCCGACACAAGGTCAGTTCTGAAGATCTCCCTGTTCATATGTCAGTCAGATTACAGAAGCTGACAAAATAACAAAGGTTATTTTGTAAATGATAGTTTGGTTGTAGGGAAAGTTGTTCTTATCTTCCAGTATCTGTAAAACATAAATGTTGCCTCTCATAAGAATATTTTTCGTATAAATCTATGGTAACCATGGTCTTAAGTAAACTTACTACATGTTTTTTTCTGACGATTTGTGTTTTGAAGTGTGCTGCTAAAGGCAAAAGAGAGAACTTTTGTTTCTCTTGTGTTTAGCACAGACCTGAATACAAGGGGTATAGGATAAAGAAAAAAATAAGAAGTTTCTTGAATGTTGCGGTTAATTTTTTTCTTGCCATACACTAGCAGCCGTTTGTGTCAATGTTTGCAGAACTGACAGGGTGCGGCTGTGACTTATAAAGCAGATCTTAACAGGGAAATTCCTTCAAAAATAAGAGTCTGAAAAATTAGGCACAGTGATTGTAAAAGGCGCTGCTAACTTTTTTCAAAAGAGGCTAAAGCAGGGCTAGTCAATCTATATGCCAGCATGTGAGTAAATGATCTAATTTCAGAGAATCTGTAGAATTTAACTGTTTTCATTAGTTTCAAGATGTGCAGGGCTGGGTGTTACATCTATCAGCTGAAGGATGCTTTCCTCAGTCAAGCTCTGTGCAGCAAAATACATATATATATAAATGCCCTAAGTATATATGTGTGTGTGGGTGTGTGCAAGTATGTGTGTGTACATATATATATATATATTTAAATATATATATATATGTAAATATATATATATACATACTGGAGTTATAATTGCAATAAACTATCAGCTTGTAAATTGTATCCCTGGATGATATTGGTGTTTTAATTTTTTTTTTCTGTTGTGAGCCATATAATTTTTCATAATCATTTCATTATTTTCTTTGTATGAGTGTTGGAAAAAGTCTTCTAAACTTAAAAGATAAGGCAAAAAGTTTTTACCTGTAGATAAATGCTAAAAAATATTTTACTGAAACTTAGAAACTCAGAGACATAAATGCAGGTAAAACAGCTTGGTAAGTTTTTAACTGTCACAGTTACAGTGCATGGGGTTGTCACACCTCATGACTTGTGAAATCTGTGCATCAGCACTGCTGTGCAATTCAAAAGCCTGGTGATTTACAGTAAACCAGATTGATCAAAGTACCAGCAATGACCTACCTTTTGAAGACCAGTCCCAAAATACCTCATGGTTAATAAACTGTAAAAATCTCGTAAAGCCCACATCTTTGGTTAGTATCATTTGGAGCTATGCTCATTTTCATCAGATTGTGATATGACGTGTTTTTACATGCTGATTTTTTTTTTTTTTTTTTGTGTAGCTAAAGGAATGCACATGGGGTTTCTTAACAGAATTTTGAATTTGTAAACCATTTAGTTTCTGAAGGGGATGGATGAGTGAAAAGAACTGCCTATTTTATTTAAAACTGGCCTTGGAACAATTGCATTGCTAACCCAGTAACATAGGGTAAATTGCAGTTTTAATTTTTCATGTTATTACCAGCACTTGTAAAGTATCAGGACACTTCAGGAACTAAGAAAAACCTACTTGCTGTGGAAGCTGCCTTGATGGTTAAGAATTTTAATTCATTCTCTATTATTTTTTTTTTCTGTACTCAAGATGCTTGCTATGTGATTTTTTATGATGTGTATGAATGGTGGGGCAACTTGCAAGAAGGTGAGGTTCCCATGGTGCATGATTTCATTTTGTAGTATTTAGAAAGCATGATGATATTTTCTGAATCATATCTGGGCTGTTTACTAAGTGTAAATAACTTTATCAAGCAGTGCATAGTGCTTTTTTATTCCATTTTTTTTTTTTTTTTTTTTAAATCTGGTTTCAGATTTCTATTCTTTCATATGCAATTGGCTATCTATTATTTGGATAGTTTTTCTTTTTCTTAAGGAAATCTAATAATGGACAGTACTAGCAGCATATACTGTCATGATTAGTTTGGTCTGTTCCTGCAATTGTGTCTTTTGTGAAATTGCTGAAATTTGAAAAAGAAAAATTTGATTTTATCTAGTACCCTTGAAATTTGAGACAAATCTTGTCAAGATCATTTTTGGCTTCACTTGTTCCAGTGAATTTTGATATAATTAAACTTGATTTTATATTACTGTCACTGAGAAATTGAAACTGATGGTTTGATTTTGGTTACCTCATACCCTGGTTTCAGCCAAGAATGAGCTTTACTGAATTAAATGAAGTTTAGGTATGTAAAAGCAGTGTCAAAGGAGAATCTCATCTAGACTATATACTACCGTAGTCAAAGTCTGGCTTGCTGGGGCATTTCCATCTAATTTCCATCTAATTCATTTGTGAGAGTGGCTATGTAGACTCAGAGCAAAGATTCACCTAGCTTATATTGTATTTTTGAGACTGGCTAATACTAGAAATTTCAAGAAAGGGATAAAGAGACAGAGCAATTAGGGAGTGATCTTTCCCTTAGTGTATATTCCCATAGTGGTTGGTCACACTTCCTAAGCTAGAAATTTTCCTAATAAGAGAAAGAGTATAGCTGACCAGGCAGGTGTAATAGTCAAATGCCTGTGACAACATTTACTAACCTTGTTCATTTTCCAGGGCCTGCTGGAACGTCGCAGGCGCTATGACAAGCTTTGCTGACTTTTGGGGTGTAGAGTGCTGTGAGCCCACCAGAGGGCTCACACGCTACGGAAATGAGTAGGTCAGTCTGCTGTGCGCATGCTTTGTTCAAACATCTGATTTCTGTGCTTGATAAAGCACTTTTGTATGTCGTGTGTTATAACTGAAGTAAGGCCCATTACAAGTAGTTTCCTAAAGCAGGCTGGTAGTGTATATAGTAGTGTATATAGCCAACTGTTGCCTGCTCTCAGAAAGTTTTTTTTTTTTTTTTTTTTTTTTTTTTTTTGCTGCTCCGTCATTTGAGAACTGTCTTGGGAAATGTCTAAGTTTATAACTGCTTAGGAAGGATTTTGACAGCTAAGTTTTTTGGTCATTAAAACGTTTTCAGCTTTGGAGAGTATTTGAACTGCAATACTGGGATGCTCAGAGTTGCAAGAGAGAATGAGGAAAAATGTTCTGAGAACTGCGTGCTCAGCTCCATTGGGAAGAGCCCTGAAGCTAAATCAGAATGCTAGATTTACCAAGGTGATACCGTAAAAGTTGGTCAAAGAAACTCTCTAATACTCAGTTGGAGTTTTAGAAAGCAAGTGTTCTTTAATTATGATGCCAGATGCCCAGGGAATCTCTCCACCTAGTGTGCGTGCCAAACCATCCAAACAACAGGGGTTATACACAATCAAAACTTACATATTCATTATATTTCATAGAAATAATCAACATATTCATAGTATTTCCTGTAATTCATTAAAATATGTAAATGTTCTTGACACATGCACATTTGTTTGACCACATTTGATTGTGGTCTTCCAGGGGGCCTCTGGTGGTTGTCAGTAGTCTTCCTCACTATGTTCACTGCTTGAACCCAGTTCTTGCATATGCTCAGACCATCTTGTTCTTTCTTGTTTTGTTGTTCCAACTTAGATATGCATAGTAAACTAAGTGATTTACATGTCAAAAGACATGTGTACACCATGAGTTCCTCACCTGTTTTTTACAGGCACATCTTTCAAGCCTAGGTTGTCTTTCCCCCACTTGGGATACAATTCTGTGTGGTCTTACAGATAAGGCTGACTAATTTGTCAACTATGTGTTCTTTTGACTCGGTATCAAAGGTTTGTAGATTTTTGCCAAATGGAATTAGAGTGTGAGAGTGATTTGCTCATCAAAATCCGAAAATGGATGGAAGTCCAAGGCTGGTTTACAGTGCTTTTTGTACTTATCTGCAGCATGCAAAGTCCAGTAGCCTGGTCCATAGCCAATATAGATAAATCACTTTGAAAAGGGACAGAACTTAATGGAAAGCCATTGCAAGCCACAGGTGTGAGGAACTGTACATCTAAGAATGTCTTGAAAGATGGTATGTTTTAAGATATATAAAGCACTGCCTGTTAGAACTCAAGCACAGAATTGAGTAGACTCTGGCTGACCTACTCTGTGTGATCAGAGCCTTTTCTACCTAATAAACAGAGTAGAAAAGCAAAAGTTCTATTTTTCTTAGATTCTACCTTCACATCCATGCAATGCCCAGACCTGTAGTCTGGAGACTACAGACGTACATTTCAGATTCAAATAATTCTCATTGACCTCTGTTGGAGTTATTCCAGATTGTGCCAGTTGGGCTTTTTCCTTCATATGAAAAGCTTCTCAAAATCTATTTCTCTCTTAAAATCATCAGACAAATTTGTGGCTACTTTAGACAGACCTATTCAGAAAAACAGAAAGACAAATCCAAGATACAAAGTCAAGTTGCTGCATGTCATCTGAGCATGGGTAACTGTATACATTCTTAGTCTGTCTCAATTACACAGTACTCCAGCGAAGGAGACTTTTTATAAACTTGATTTACCCACTTGATAATGAGTGAGGGTCATACAGTGAGTCTCACCAAACATAAGGTGAGCCATGGAAAAAGATGGGTATTCAATAGTGCCTTTGAACCTATTTGAAGTTTGGAAAAGCCTGCTCCTTTTGTATTGATACTGCATGTTGTACAATTTAGAATAAGTTTGGAGAGGGAAAAATATTTCCATCAGAACTCACAGAATTAATTTAAGATAAAATTATACCCAAACATGAATTGCACACAAGTATTTTCATGAGGGGGGAATGTGTTTAATTTATGAAGTCTTTCCACCAAGCTCACTAGCAATTATCTGTTTCACAGGTGAAAGTCAAACACCTAACTTATGTTTCAGAATTCCATAATACATTTTCTCTTTTAATTTTAGTGATTTAAAATATAAATTCAAAGAAACAATCCATCAGATTCCATCAGTCATCAGTCAGTTTTCATTCATTAGCTATCATATGCACATACTGTACTCCAAAGCACTGGATACAAATTGTGATAATGTGGTGTTAAGATGATCAGTCACAAGCGTGCCAATTGAATAACTGTAGTAACTTTAAATATTTTTTAATATGTTTTTCTTGTGTTTTCTTTTTGTTCCAGTTAATTGATTATCTGTATTTCTTATTAAACTGTCTGATTTTGCTTTGAGATTCCTTTTCAGAACTAGGATATTTTTTATCTTGTCCTTCACTCAGACTATCCCCTCCTCATTCACTATCCCATTTGCAGTATCCTTAGTGCAACCTTAGTGCAGGCATGCATTTTCAAAAAGCTTTTTCTTCTTCTAAGATTTTGTGCCTAATTAAAGAGATGGTTGCTAAGAGATTGTTGAAAGTATAATTAAGAGAGTCTAATTTACTCCTTTTCTTATCTACCATGCACAGAGTTCAGACCAGAATTTGTAAGTAAATGGGATAGCAGCATCCCAAAATATTCAGTGACCAGATTCTGACAATGGACAGAATGCAAGGAGAGTGTGCCAGTCCTGTGCCCTCAGGAGATGCAGAGAAGAGCAGGACTGGAGAAGAGGACCCAGGACCAACTGTGTTGGGAAAAGCACATGAGTTCTTTCAGATTTGTGATGTGGAAGGCAAAGGCTTCATCACTTGCCAAGATATGCAGGTAAAACAAAATTGGCTATGTGGAATGTACAATAAGAGAAACTCCCAATGCCCTTAATGAGTTGAGACCAATTAATGTAGAGTTAGAAAATGTAATACCCTCCTGATAAGTTAAAGAGATGTATAGGATTTAAAGTAATGTCTTTGAAGTCTTACGTGCTGTTCTGTGATTGTATGGTTCTATGATAATCCTTGCAATTTTTTCCACAGAAAAAGCAACAAATAAATGCAAAGCTGAAGTAAGTGCAGTTTAAAAAATCGTCCCAGGAATTCTATTTTTGGGGAAGTTGAAAGTCCAGCAAATTCATTGCTTTGCAGTTTGCCCCCATATCAACAACATATTCTGTCCACTAGTTTTACCTTTCTGTTTGTTGTTGTTGTTTGTTTTCAGCCAAACTCTGTAATCAGGGTCTTTCACTTTGGTTTCACATTTCAGACAAGTGAAATTCTCAGTTGAATCACATATACATGCAGGAAATGTAGAGAAACGGCATTTTAGCATTTTTCAGTGTTCAAAATAAACTAATCAAGTTGTTCTTAAAATAATCATACAATTTGAGGGCTAAATGCATATTTTCTAAAGTTGTTGAAAAGAAGCAACCACACTACAAAATCTTTTTAAAACACACTGCAAAAATGATAAGAAGACTTGAAAAAAAAATTGAAAGCAGGGAAGGTAGAAACAATGAAAAAAAATGTTACAAAGCAGGAATGTACTCATGCATGATTTCAAAGCATAATGTCATTGTGCTAATCCATTTTTACCTTAGTACTAATAGATGAAATAGAAATGGGGAGCAGTGGCAAAATAATTTCACTACAAGCTACAACGAACTTAAGTATCTGAAAAGAGGTAGAGAAGCTTTCCATATCCTCAGAAACAAAAACGTGTCTGAGTATATGCAAGTGAGAGACTTTTAACTGCTTATGTTGAAAAAGCAAAAACCTCACAGTATACTGCTCAATAGTACCTGTCAATAACTTTCTGTCCAGTTGTGTTGCTGAATTTTGTGATGCCTTGTGCTAATTCTGTGAAGCCGAGCAAGATAAGAGTGCAGATGCTTGCTGTGCTATAGGGTTTTCCGATATGTATTATCTCACTGAAGTTACTGAATGCAAAGTAACAACTATGTTTTTAGTGGTAATTTTGGTAAATCCCAATCCACAGAGAATTTCCTTTATTTTATTCTCATTTTATTGTCTTTCCAAAACTGAATAGCATATATTTTCACCTAGTAAAAGACCCATATATATACATAAAGTTTTAACATCTGTTTTTGCAAGGACTGTGAAGACATTTCTTTCTTTGATTCTGGGTTTTATGCTTGGATTATAGATAAATTTGTCATGAAGTCATAAGAGCATACCTTCCTCAGTTAATGTTGTTTCAGCCTTTGAGATATATTTGAATTTTCCTTCTGGGTAAAAAAAAAAAAAAAAAAGCCTAAATTACAGGGATTTTTGTCTTGTTTATAGCTTCCATTCTTATCCTGTGGTAGTGAGTGAACTTACAGCATGTTTTGTGATTTCAGAGACTGTATCCTGAGTTACCTCTTAGCCTGGAAGAGCTTGAAAAAGTTTTTGTTATGTTGGATGCGGATGGCAATGGGTCACTTACCCCAAAGGAGTTCACCACAGGATTCAGTGAGTTTGGAAAGCATGTCTCCTATATAGACTCTTATTTGGGTTCTTTACTCTCCACTTGAATCTTTTATCCTAACAGTACACTTACGATGCACACAGGGAAACTGTTCCCCAGATACAGCAGTGGTCAAACGATGTTTATAAGATGTCTACAGGAGTTCATTCTCACCAAAGGGCTCCAGGGTGTTTCTCTCCTGTGTAAGATGGGAAGTCATGGCACAGTGACACAGTGAAAACTCAATAACCTAAGTTATTAAGCAGGTATTCTTTGTTACGGCGCTGGATGTGTGGGGGATCTCTCCACCTAACTAACACACACTAAGTGTTACTGGCAGTGTGCTTATATTAGTGGGATATATGCATATTCATTTAATTTCCTGTAAGTCTCTTGCATATTCATCAGGCATGCGAATAATCATTAATATAGGTTCATCAGGTCTCCAGATCTCCAAAGAATCATTAGCATAGGTTCCCACACCTATTTGCATGCATACTGGAGTCCTTGGGTGGATGAGCATCATATAACAAATATAACACATAATACTTGATGAACAGCTATTATTCTTCTTGTCTTCCTAGTTTTCTTTTTATGAATGTAGCAGAAGGTACAAAACAAACAAAAAGCTACAAAAGAAAAAAAACTTTTCTTTTTTTTTTTTTTCTTTTTAGTAGTCTTTGCAGTTCTTAAAATTTTTCACTCACTTGTCTTTATATCTACCCTCTTTATCTCCAGGATGTGGCTAGCATTTTTGTTTGATATATTTATTGTGGGGTCTCAGTTTCCCTACTTTTTGAGATCGATACTCTGGATCCAGAGTACTTTTCTACATATCATCCCCTCCACGCCCTCACACTTTGAGAAAATAATTTAGAATGTTTCACAGTTTGTTAATTTACTTGAGCCTTTCAACCCAGCTAACTTCAGTAATATGTATTCTTGCTTAAACTCATGTTAATTTAAACTGAATCAACTCATTTGTCAAACCATGGTTAGTTCTTGCAATCAGTTCTTCTATAGTGTTCTTCTATAGTATTTGCCCTTACTAGAGCAAATCCAAGATAACATTGATGCAGTGAAAACTCAATAACCAAAGTCATTAAGCAGGTATTTATTACGGTGCTGGGTGTGTGTGGGATTGCTCCGCTCAACCCACACACACACCAAGGGTTACTGGCAGTGTGTTTATATTAGTGGGATATATGCATATTAATTTCATTTATTGTAAGTCTCTTGCATACTCATCAGATATGCAAATAATCATTAACATAGGTTCCCACACCTATTCGCATACGTACTGGAGTCCTTGGGTGGTTGTCTGGCATACTCCAATGGTCTTTTAATGAAGGCCAGAAGTCTTCCTCGCTGCTAAACTTCTGACCTTTACTTTCATTAAAAAACTTCAGCAGTCAAGCCAGTTCTTGCTGGTTAGATTATCTTATGCATACAGTTTTTTACTCCCTTATCTTTGGGGTTATTAGCATACAATTGTGTTAGCTAAAACCTATATATTCAACATACTTTATCTTGTTCCCTGTCTCAACATGATGTGTTGCTGGATGGTGAATAATTGATGAGAAAGTCTCATGACTTCCATGCAAGCCCCTCATGATTATGATGTGGTTCCAATAGCCAGGAATGCCTGAATTTTGCTATTATTAATAGAAATATCCTGAATAGGTGGAAGAAAAGAATGTAGCGGTGAAGTCTAGAGGAATTAAAATACATGTGAGTCAAATGGAGGAAGAATGAACGTGAAAAAAAATCTAGCTTTGATATTCAGTTACAAGCAGGAATTTGAAGTATATTAAGAAATTTTAAGCATATCTAAGAGCACAACATCTATAAAGTGCTTGTTGCCACAGTTTATGTCTTTTGTTTATGGAAGTCTGAACTTTTTCAGTGTGTTTGTGAATTTTGAGGACAAAACCAGGCACAGACCTCAAATATCCTCTTGTCAGGCCTCATGATTTAGTTGTTTCATGATGTTCCGTTTTCCCATAAACAAATGTGTTTTCCTTCCTAAAAGTTATATTTACTGTTTAATTTGATCTTTGGTGTGTTCTTCAATGACATTACTTCTTATCGTGATTTCTGAAAATGCTAAACTTATAACCTATGTAATTTTTAAATCTTAGGCCAGTTTCTTTTGGGGCAGATTGCTTTAAATAAAGAAATGCAACAATCGGAAGCTGAAACAGCCTGCCTACCTAAAAGTGAAGAGACTGTGAGAGATGATGAGGAGGAGGAATTCCAGTTCTTAAATCTGATGGATCGGCTTGGAGCAAAAAAGGTCTTGGAGGAGTGAGTTTTACCAGCAATAGTAATAGATTACACAATCTTTTATGATTCAACTCTGTGGTTTGATTTTAATGGAACTCAAGATGAATGATGAGAAATAAGGCCTTTCATTAACACGGTGACTCTTTAAAAATTAATTTTCTTAGCCGTTAGAAAGGATAAAATGACATTCAGCCCAAAGTTTCCAAGAGCAAAGCTACTGCACTGCAGTCATGTGAAACATGTCTGTTCCATATGAAAACTATACCACTGACATACCATGGATTTTGAAAATAGATAATTTCTAGTATGTTTGAGAATTCATGGGTGCTACTGATTTCAAAAACACAAACAGTGCATGGTGACTGTTTTTTGTTGTTGTTGTTGTTTGATAAGGAGTGTGTTTAAAGTGCACCTGTTAACCATAAACAAGAATGTTTGCTCTGCTCTGCATTTATTTGCATATTGTGATTGCTATGATGACACCTCTTCCAGGACCAGGATGATGTCCTCTGAAACAAAGAATCCAAAAACATCCACTGCTGAGTTTCTTGTGCGTTGGTCTGATGTTCATTGGTTAATCACAATCAATGTACTGTATCAAAGAAAGCACAGGGACAAAAATTGGAGAGAACCTGGACAGATAATAAGAATGTCTAAGAAATGTATCAGTGATCCTTATCATGAAATAGAAATGCTTATCAGTGCTTTTCTAACCTGACTGCCTGTTATAGAAAAGAGCTAATTGGCAGTCATCCTGAAACACTTTCAATATGAAGTGATTGACGTACTTTTTATATCCTCATCCTCATTTTGTCCTTTAAATATAGAACTCATGGCTGTCTAGGTTCAGCCTAACAGTGCATGTGGAAGAGAACGAGTCAGGAAGGAAAAACAAAAGAAATTATTCAGGGAAATTTCAGCAAAGTGTTTTAAAAAATGTATCATTCACAGTAGAGCCTGAGTTTCATTCATTTGTCATGAGAAAATGTTTTTGATTAGCTTTTCCACTGTCCCATGCCTACTGGATTGGTGGAAAATTCTCTGCTTCTCATAAAAGTGACGGGATGGTACTAATCACAGGAGACAGATGAGATATCTATCCCCTTTCTTCTCCATTTCTGGTTAGATGAAGTGTCTAACAAGGCATCCAACAAACAAGAAATTTCTGTGATTCCCTGCAGTCATGCATGACCTGATGTTATGATCAATATTTTGGAATAAAAGTGATTGTTATAATTTCCCACCTACCTCATCCTTTTCCAATCTGAGTCTGCTTGAACAGCCCTTGTTTTTAATTAGACTTGTGTTCTGACTAGTAATGCCTTGAAGCCTCCATTCTGTTACTAGGATGCGGCAAACAGTTACTGTAGACTGAGAAATATTCTCTTATAATAATCTTTTATAATCTTTTGTTTCAGTGAAAGTGATGTGAAGCAGCTTTGGTTGCAGCTGAGAAAAGGTGAATCTCACTTACTTTCCAGTTTTGAAGAGTTACTGGCCAGAATTTTTTCCCAGCTCCATGATGCAGATAATGAAAAGAATGAGTTGGAATGGGCTCTAAAAAAGTTAGTGCTTTTCTTTCTTGGTCAGTTTGTGTAGTATTACATCTATCTTCTACATTTAAGCCTTTGAAATAAGTGAAGCATTTCTGAGGAGAACTGAGGGCTATAATCACAAGAGTTCCTGTAACATGAAGTTTTATTAGTCGTGAATAGTAAAATTATACATACTGCAGAACTTAGGTTTTCTTTTCCTGTTAACAGATTGTATTGACTGAAATTCTTTTGCAGATGTCTTTTATTTCATTGCAATTCTAAGACAATACTAAGCAATTCTCATCTAGTTAATGTTTGACTCCAAAGAGCAGTCAGGTTTATAGTTATGCAGATTATAGTTGAAGTTCACCTATAATTTTTATTTATATCAATTTTATAATTTTATATGTATATAATTTACATATATATTAATAACTCCCGATTTTTAGATCAGATCTGGAAGCTCTTAAGCTTTCTGAATTGTTTTAGTATCTTTGTGGGATATGGTATGAACCAGAGCAGTACAGGCTGTGCTTCCAATAGCTTTTCTGTCTGCTCTGTTAAATTTCAGTGCAATAACATTTTAGATTCACAGAAACAGCATTCAGACCAGCAGATACATACACAGTATCTTTCATTCACAGTATCATTGTTTGAAAAATATGTTGAGATAAAGTTGTCTAACACTTGTTTATTAGTGGTGTTAGAACATAATATATTTGTAAGCATTGAGCAGTAAAGGCAAATATACTTTTTGAAAATTCCATCACTCTTTTTGTTATATTGAGAATGTGACAAGGCTTCTGAAGGAAGAAAAAGGAAAAACACATGGCCATTGAAGACAAACTAGTTGATATTGATTGCAGAATTTTCAAGTGTGATTTTTAAGCCTTGAGGCACCTTGTCTGTTGGAAACAGCACAGTGAAAGTTATGTTGTCTGTCTTAGCCTACAGATTATTAATAATCACGTGTGTAACCATCACAGAGGGTGCAGTGCATGGAGCATTAGCATTACCTGACTTTTCTGACTTACATGAAATTGCTACCTTAAAAATGCATTGTATCTTTATGTCTTCATAGTAAAAACAGTTTTGTGTTAATTTCTTCTTCCTATTGCTCCTGCTAACTCCTCTGATGTCGGCACATAAATGCTTGCTTTGTTTGTAATGAATAGCTGGACGGAGTCAGATCTGTCACAGTAGTAGTGCTGCCTTAGATAACAGTGGGTATGAAAAACCTCTCTTGGGGAAAAAAAAAAAAAGCACAAATAAGAGCAAAGCTGAAGATAAGACCATACAAAAGGGGATATTTATATTTATTTTTATTTATTTTTTATACCTACATACTTTTAAACACAAAGAATGGTCAGGATTTACTGTGGGGACACAGAAGATAAGAGATGCTGGTTATGGAGGTCTCATCATCTCTCTTGTGTTGTGCTTGGTGACAATAAGCACTCTTTGGAAGTTGAGAATGAATATCGACTTTCATTTTTCCTGCCTCAGCTCTGTGAGTCATTAAGCAATACTGCAGTTTACTCTCATCCTTTTGTCTTCTCTCCTAGATGTATGCTGTGCTTTTGTCTTAGATTTATTTCTTTTTTTTCTGACCTGGATGTCCTGAGAACCTTCATGTGCATGTACTGGGATCTTTACTATGCTATCAACATAGGCCATTCTTCTGTCCTTGGATTTTGTCTTTTCTTCTGGAGCATTCATGTGTGCATATTTCTATTCATGTTATGGGGACCTGAATCTAAGAGACCCAGGGTATTTATCCTGTCCTGGTCAAATAGATAGAGTACAGTGCTTCTGTTCCCATTTGTAGGTCCAGCTGGTAGTGAGGCTGGGCATGTATGTCCTCAATAAACACATGTGCAGATACACACATGGGGGCTATACAGACTAATACTGATTGGAGAGCAGTGCCTCTACTGGCACCCCTGTAAACACAAGCAGCATTCACACAAACATGAAGGATGTTTCTTCCCTGTTGATCAGGGGTAAATTTTACTAGTGATGATATACACACATGCTGCCCTCCCCCACACTGACTTTATTCAGAAACAAGCCCGCATCCACATATCCTTTTAATACTAGCATGGGCCTTAGGTCCACCTAATGTCCATGCCTGCACCCTGGGCCCCTTACCCATTGCTCAGCCCTTGGGTCTTTCCAGATGTGAGTCTACTTCTACTCACTGCCTTGTTTGCTTTGACTGATGTTAGCTACCACAATGCATTAATTTGCTCGCTCATGATTACAATCATTGTAACAACCACAGATCCTTGAAGCATAGGGCTTTTCATGTCCATCTAATGCCCATGTCAGGAACCTAGTCCCTGTACCTCCAGTCATCAGCTCAGACCTTGAGTCTTTCCAGATGCAGATCTCCTCCTCCTTGCTGGTTAGCTTAGCTTGAAGTGTGATAATGATTAACACCCATACGGAATAGATGTTGAGTTCCCACAGAGAATAATTAGAAATAGGATGTAGTAAGATGACAGACACTAGGGTTGACCAGATGAATATAATGACCATCATATTGCTTACTCTTGACTTAGCCATTTATCCACACTTCTTTCCTTTTGCACATCCACCTCGGTCCCTTTCTCTCTCTATCCTTGCATTCTCATAAATAAAAACAACTTGTTCCTAAATACTTTTGTGACTTCAGTTTTCATGGTGCTGCCAAAAACTATGCTTCAAAACACGAGAGGACTAACTAAAATTATTCTCCCTGTCAGAAGCAAATAAAGTATTTAATGCTCTCATGGAAATACAGACTTCTAAGCGGTATGTTCTGCCTGTGCAAAGTTACAGGGTACATATATTTCATTACACAGTCAATTTAGTTCTGATCAAAGTGATTGCATGAATACGATCTTTTAAAACATGATCTTAGCATGTCTACCATATCTTTCTAAATAATTTTTATGAATATGTGTAATTTTATGTCATTGAAAAATGCTATTATGACACATTTTCTTATTTTAAAGAAAATAAAATTTGAGATCAGAACATGATCAGAACAGGGGAGTAAAATAAATTGCCTAGATTTTCCAGCACTCCCTGTTTGAAGCATTGCAGTTATATGAAGAGGCCATCATCTGGGCTGCTTTTCTAATCTAGTCTGAGTTTACACAAATGTAGATGACAGCAAATTTTCTCTTTTTCTTTTTTCAAATTGGTATGGGTTAATACATGTTTATTGCTGCTGTAAATCCTGAGTAAATACCTTCCACCCTCATTTCTATCTGTTACTAAAAATTGCAAGCTGGCAATGTCAAGTGTTGAGATATTTGAAAGGGGGAAAGAAAGACTTTTTTATAAAGTTACTCACTTATTTTGGTGTAGGTAAGTTTTTTCCAGTTTGCTTTCATTTTTTTCAGCTTTATCTGAGAAGTGAGTCAAGCTTTTTATAATTGAAAAATACAGACTTTGTAAAGCATTAGGTACAAAAATTATAGTAGGTTCCCCAAAGTACAAAATTAATGTTTTATTTGATTATTTTTTTTTTGCTACTGTATATTCATTGTGTTGCTCTTGTTAATGTTAATGCCCTAGAAGGTTCGTTTCTCTATTTGTAATGGATGCATTCTCCAGATTGCTCAAGGAACACCTCTAACAAAAGAGATAAGGGGGACTATGTAGTAATGTCATATAAAGATCCTATTAGTCTCTGTTAAAAATCACTCTTGAGTGTGCCCTGAATTTGATGCAAAGTGATTTATGGTTTTCAGTTTCTGGATTAATGAAAACAACATAGCATAGCATAGCAACAGAACAAATGAACAGCCCTAACAGTAGTTTATTTATTTATTTATGGTCCAAACTGAAGCATCCACTTGATGTAATTCTTCATGTATCAAACTACAGTGAGATTGTAATATTATAATGGTGAAAAGCGAGCTCTGTCCTTTCTTCCTTTTTCCTACTGTCAGATACGTATTTGCATAGCACATTTATGTCTGATCTTTAGCTGAGCTTTAAAAATTGTTTCTGCAAAGCTCTTAGAAAGGAAGTAAGGTGTCTTTCAAGAAGGACTTTCAGGAAGTCCATTCTAGCCAAAACTGCTTAGTCATGATAAAAGTACCTCATTTAATGCTTTTGAATGGTGAACAATGCAGTCCTACAGTAAAAAGTGATGTTGCATTGGAAACACTTTTAACTGGCAAACTTAGACTCTGGTATTGTTATTAGTGTCACTAGGGAGTTCTATTCCTTAAATCTAAGATTTAGTAGTCATTAAAACTGCATAATGAACAGCTACTTTATATGGAAACATCAGATGTATATCTTTACCAATTTTTTTTGTGTAGCTTTGTTATTTTATGTAACCTTTGAGCTGTTGAAGCTTTTTTTCCCTAAGATTTTGGTGTTTGCTGCTGTTTTTTCTTTGATTCGTTGATTTTTTTTTCTTTCTTTTTTTCTTTTTTTTTTCTTTTTTAAAATCTGTGATCTTTCCTGCACACTTTCTTACCCTCAGTACATTCTCTGGTGACTTATGTTATGGCACAAAATGTGTAGGGCTTAGTTGGTAGTTATGAGACGTAACCTGAAGTAATGCTACAAAAGTAAAAAAAAAGTAAAAGTAATGCTACATACATTTAGTATACTTTTATCTCTTTTTAGAAAAACTGCAGCTTTTGATGAAGAAATTCAAAATCTCTATGAAGAAATGGAACAGCAAATCAAAAAGGAGAAAGAGCAGTTTCTCTTGAAAGTGAGTGTCTGTTGTTATTGCTAGCATGGATTCTGCTCCTATTACCAGTGGTTTTATACTCATCCTGGGTGTGGAATAAGAGCCTACAAAATGTGTTTCACAACAGAGTTATAAAAAACAGCATTTCCCTTGCTGATGCTTTTGATCTGATCCAGACTCCGCAGCTTCCAACTGAATGACTTTGATGAAAAGAACATCAGTGTACTGTTCTCAGTGGTTGGCATAGAGTAGCAGCTGATTTTCTTTTGAAAGTCAATGGAACTACTGCTTCATTGTATTATCGATGCTCCTACAGATCCAACTGCTGGATACAGTTAGCAAAAATGTTTTCGGAGGTTGTTCATAGCAGCACTAATCTTATTGAGTTCTGCAAGCTCTGCTTTTGTGGAGCGGATAAGTTCTCACTGAACTGCAACAACAGCTATTCAAGTAATGGTAATTTCTGAAACCAGCACACCTGTTTGCATGATAATGTTACGTCAGATTCTTTTGTCACTGCCATAATTCCTCAAGAACACTTAACATCAAATTCCCTTTTCTTCTGAAAAGTCTACTTTAAATCTCACCTATTGCTTTTAATAATCTATTCTTTTGATTTTTCTCTCCCTTCCCCTCCCCCCTCCCCCCCCAACAAGGAAACTAACAAGAAATCCTAACAGGCTGCAGGAAACAGTCACCTAAGAATCATTTGGGTGGGCACCTCTGCTGCTCTTAACTTTCACACTAGATTGGGTTGCTCAGGGACTTGTCCAGTTGAGTTTTGAGTATGCCAATGATGAAGATTCCACAACAGTTCTGGGACAACCAATTGTAAGCCTTTTTGTTTTTTTGAAAGCTCTTGTATCAATGAAAACAATATATGTTTTCATACAACCCATGGTACTCAAAATGTTGCCCAAACTAGTGGATATTCATCAAAGATCACCTCAATTCTCAATCAAATATGATATCTAAAGAAATCCTTTTGTGGTCCAAATGTATAAAGTTTTTTTTTTTTTTTTTCCCCCGTGACATAAACTGTGTTAGAACTAAAAGTGTCTTAATCAGTTGTCTAAAGAATCTTCTAAGTCTTTATTTGTCTCAAAGACAAGAACATGATTCATAAACTTCAGTTTTTACATTCCAAGTTGAGAACAGTTTTCAGTGGTGAATGAGGTGAAACCTTTATATAAATTCTGCATATCAATTGAAGAATAACAAGTATTTGCAAATTTGCCTGCTGGTGGAAGAATTGGTTTATACGTTATTAACACCCCATAACTGAAGTTGTATTGAAAATTCTAAAACATAAAAACAAACAACCCCCCAACTCCCCCCCCCCAAAAAAAAAACAAAACCAAAAACAACCCCCCAAAAAAGTGACTGTATAAGCAGTGATCGTTGGATCTCCTAATTAGTTGTATTTTTGAGGCAAAGCCATTTATTTCAAGCTGTTGCATTAAAGCTTCCCACTGAAGCTATTTACAGTTTAGTCAACATTCATGCTAGTGGCTTAGTCATCTTTCACACTAGTGGTTGTCCTGGTACTGTAAAAGTCGGTCAAAGAAACTCTCTAAGACTCAATTTGGAGTTTTAGAAAGCAGGCGTTCTTTGTGGCACTGGATGCACAGGAGATCGCTCCATTTCGTATGCATGCCGAATTGTCCAAGCTTCAGGGGTTATAAACAGTTAGAACATGCATATTAATTAGATGTCAGAGAAATAATCAACATATTCATACTATTTACCATAATTTGTTAAAATATGTAAATGTTCCTGATACATGCACATTTGTTTGTACTGTTGATCTTTGGTGGTTGTTGGTAGTCTTCCTGACTATGTTTGCTGCTTGAACCTAGTTGTTGCATATGCTCAGACCATCTTGTTCTTTCTTATCTTGTTGTTCCAATTTAGACATGCATACTAAACTAAGTGGTTTACACATCAAAAAACATGTGCACACCATGTGTTCCTCACCTATCTTTTACAGGCACATCTTCCAGGCCTAGGTTATCTTGCACCCCCTTCCCCTGTCTTGGGATACAGTTCCATATGGTCTTACAGATAAGGCTGATTCTTTAGAGAGTAAGGTAGCATTAGATATACAAAGTTTCTAGTTTTCCTTATATCTAACTAAACATAGTAAAATATTTCAAATTTGGTTCTATTATTCTATAAGGCAGAGAACTATATGTTCTTCTGACTTGGTATCAGTATGACACTCAAGAAGTATTGTTTTTTAACATGACTAATGTGGGGAGATCTGATTGTTAAGTTTTTTCTCTAATGCAAAGTCTCACAAAAACTCTACTGCCAGGAGAGATGCATTGATGCCATATAAAAAGGGAATTATTATGGCTTGAATATAGAATAGCTCTTGAAGAATGCGTTTAAAGAAATTGTTAGGATAACAAATGAGTACAAATTATAGCTATTTAAGATACTTAGTACCCTGCTGACTGAAATCTGTATAAAGACCTGTTAGTCTGCCTTTTTCACTTGGGTATATATTCTTCCACATAAGAAGCCAGTTACATGCATTTGATTGCCCTTTTATATGTACTGCTAAAGGGCAATATAAAGCAGCATGTTGGAACCACTCTTGTGCTTACCGTCTTCTTGTGGGAATTTTTATTTGGAGGCATCTTCCTGAGGAGTTTAGGGAGTAGAAGCATGCAGTAGAGGAATAGGATAGATTCTGAGCTAATATGAACTGCCTGGAACCCCATTTTACTCAGGGGTGGCCTGATGATTTGTCTCAGCTGAGGAGTGTCTGAAGGAGTAATGCTGATTGGCACTTGGAGTTGACAGTGATTGCAAGATGATTAGATAGCAAAACAGTTGACAGATTGACATAATTGCTAGATGTGTTGCAGAGCTTGAGTCCCAGATCACTTGCTATATCAGTGGAATATTAGTAATATAAATTGTTGTTAGGGATAGATTTTGAAGGTAGCAGTTAATGTTTCTTTTACTTCAACCTGTGTTGCAATAGCCTTTATCTCCTGTATCAGTCCTGATACCTTGTATTTGACCTACAGCATGGCTCCATAACGATTTAAATAGGTCCATCTTGGTTCTGTATCTGTTGGTTCTATTCTCATCACTTCATTGCTCTCCAGCAGTTGTCTGGTTCAGGAAACCAAAAATACAGAAAGCTACTCACTTTTCTTTTTTTTTTTTCTTTTTTCTTTTTGTTTTTAAATCTCCTGTTCAGTTTAGCTCTCTGAAACAGCTCACTGTTGTAAGGAACGAGCATGAATGTTACTGTGGGAGAGGAAGAAGTGTTGCTGGAGATGGGAAGCTATATTGTAACTTTATTGGTTTAGGTTGGCTAAGCTCCTAAGTCTCATGGATATATGCTCTGAGTGTCCAAGACAGAAGATTTCTGCTTCCACTTTATAGTGGCTTGAGAACAATTCATGTGCAGTCACCACTTGCTCTAGTAACTGCAGCCATTAAAGTTATTGAACACCACCAGTTTGCAGAAGCTGAGTCCAGTTTTATGTATGATACCGTCCTTAAATTGAGTTATATCACTAGCTAGTCGTGTTCACTGCTAAAAGCTTTTCTATTATTTTCACAGCTGATTCCTTATGTTTCTTCCTGCTGATGAAATTGTGCTGTTCTATTGATTTGTTTCCCCTTTGAATTTTGCAGGACGCAGAGAGGTTTCAGTCCTATAGCCAAGAGCTGGAGTGCAAGCTCCTGTCGAAAGAGCAAGAACTGGAACAATTGGTTCAAAACCAGAAAAGGGTATTAAGAGATATCCTCGATTTTAATCTTTTTTTTTTTTTTTTAAGATTATTATTTTTTTAGTTTATTAATGTGATTTTTCTTTAGGTGCCATTTTAGGTACAAAAAATATAAGTTGGTGTGAAGTGGTTCTGTCAAACTGTGATCCTCTGTTACTTTTGTATCACGGGTGTAGCTACCTGAGCATATTTAAAAAACAGAGTTATGGCTGCTAGATTTCTATGTGTATGCTTAGGAAAATGTTACCTTATATATGTAGAGCAGTTTTTTTTATATATAATAAAATGGGGAAAAAAATGATATTCTCCTCAGGTACTAGGTTAGTTTTATGAAATGTAACATAATTCTTCTGCCTGCCATGTGCTAATGCCCAGACAACTCAGGAATAGGCTCTTGTAGCTTGTATCTCTACTCAAAGCTTGTACCAGCTGTTTCTTTGCTTGTTTGGGAGGATTCAGCACCACAAACTTGAAATGCTTTCTTCTAAACAAATGGGCCTGATACACCTTTCTCTAATAATTTTGCATCTTCTTGAATGCTACTGGCATGCCTGCTTGTTGATGTGTTTAAGAAAATAGAATCAAGCCCACTGCTCTTGTCATTAGTTCTCTTGTATGGCAACAGCTTGTCAAGTTCCCCTATTAAAGCCTACTGTGTTTTATTTCTTAAAGTGCATGGCCTACTTGGGAAAGTAGGCTATTTCTTTATGTGTAAACTTGCTGTAAAGTCCCTTCAGCCCCTTCAAGGTCAGTAAATTAGAGAAGGGAAAAGGAGGTAGCACTGGAATTTAAATGAGCAAACATTTAAACATTTGCCACACTGCAGCACCAGAGCAGAATAACCTGTCCTTTGAAGATGTATGTGGAGACACGGATCAGGCATTTTCAGTCTGAAGCTAACTGAAAAACTATAATAAAATATTTATTGTAATTTTGTAATGATTTTAATATTCTCTTTATTTATTTATTTATTTTTAAAGTTTAAAGCTCAATTATCAAGCAGCAGTTCTGTGAAAGCCTTTTCCTGTGGTTGTCTAATATATTTGTGTTCTTAACTGGTATAAAACCACAGAAACTCTTCAAATGTTTACACTCAGTTTTAAGCATGGTCTAATCACATAACACTGGAAGAAACGTCAAAAAGTTTTGTCTTATATTTACCTAGTATATCTTGGAAAACAAAACAATTCTGTGTTATTTTCTTTATTATTATTAATCTAATTTTATGGTTACTTTTTTCTATATATTGCATTATCAGTTTGTAAATTTTATTTGTAATTTCTATAATAAGGGTGCAGAGGACGTTATAAATGAATTTGCATAAGTCTCAGCAAAATTGCTTTGGAAGGACAGGATTTTCCTATTACTATAAAAATTACATTTTTTTTATGGAAAGGGAGCCTATGATGTACAAATGGAATTCTCTACTTCTTATTGTATGATCAGTATTTTATTATTTTCTGGTATGGTTGCCTACTCTGAAAGCTTAATTCGGTGTTATAGACAATGTTTTTTACATGTATTTTTTTAATTCCTAATAATCACCTCTGAAATGGAATCTCATCCTTCCTCAGATCTGCTTTTGTTATACTATAACCCCACCATTTTCTGATATTACTCTTCATTCATCTAGATATCAGTGTGTGCTAGGTTATCTTTTACCTGTCTAATGTTTGCCTAATACAGAGAGCACTGTGTCACTTTCTCCTCTTGCATGGAAATATACTTTGACAATTAAATCTATTCTTGGTAATGGTAGCATGGTTTAATTAAAATTGCCATGCTTGATTATATGAAAGAACCTCTTGGGAATATACTTTTTTTTTAATCTTTCTCTCTCTCTTTTTTTTTTTTTTCCATCCCAATATAATTAAATTATTCCTGTGGTGGAAATGATTATCGAAAATGTGAAAGGAAACTTACAGATGAATTCAGTGTTGTTTCTGCTGATTTAGCCAGAGGGAGGCTCCCTTTTGAGGGTCATCTGCCTGACATGACTGAAATACTGATCTGATTCCATACTGACTGGTCTTCTGGAGGCCAAGGTTCCTTTTCCTAGGCCTTTTTGCTGGCTACCATGATCTTGAATTGTTAGCTTGCTCGCATGCTGGGTAGCTTAGACAGAGGACAAGGTATTCTCATTAGTGTTCCCAAAGAGATGAGTGACACAGAAGGAAGCACTGAAGACAAAGCATGTCCAGCATAGCATCGAGGGTAATGAGACTCATATTAGGTAAAGAAGGCAGGTGGGAGCCAAGGAAAGGTGGAGGTGCTCAATGCCTTCTTTGCCTCAGTCTTTAGCGGCAATACCGGTTGTTCTCTGGATACCCAGTACCCTGAGCTGGTGGAAGGGGATGGGGAGCAGGATGTGGCCCTCACCATCCACGAAGAACTGGTTGGTGACCTGGTACGGCACTTGGATGTGCACAAGTCGATGGGGCCGGATGGGATCCACCCAAGGGTACTGAGAGAACTGGCGGAGGAACTGGCCAAGCCCCTATCCATCATTTATCAGCAGTCCTGGCTATCGGGGGAGGTCTCAGCTGACTGGTGGCTAGCAAATGTGATGCCCATCTACAAGAAGGGCCGGAGGGCAGACCCGGGGAACTACAGGCCTGTCAGTTTGACCTCAGTACCAGGGAAGCTCATGGAGCAGATCCTCTTCAGAGTCATCATGCGGCACTTGCAGGGCAAGCAGGCGATCAGGCCCAGTCAGCATGGGTTTATGGAAGGCAGATCCTGCTTGACGAACCTGATCTCCTTCTATGACAAAGTGACGCGCTGGGTGGACGAGGGAAAGGCTGTGGATGTGGTCTACCTTGACTTCAGCAAGGCTTTTGACACCGTCTCCCACAGCATTCTCCTCAAGAAACTGGCTGCTCTTGGCTTGGACTGGCGCACGCTTCGTTGGGTTAGAAACTGGCTGGATAGCCGGGCCCAAAGAGTCGTGGTAAATGGAGTCAAGTCCAGTTGGAGGCCAGTCACTAGTGGTGTCCCCCAGGGCTCGGTGCTGGGGCCGGTCCTCTTTAATATCTTCATCAATGATCTGGACGAGGGCATTGAGTGCACCCTCAGTAAGTTTGCAGATGACACCAAGCATGTGTCGATCTGCTCGAGGGTAGGAAAGCTCTGCAGGAGGATCTGGATAGGCTGCACCGATGGGCTGAGGTCAACTGCATGAGGTTCAACAAGGCCAAGTGCCGGGTCCTGCGCCTGGGGCGCAATAACCCCAAGCAGAGCTACAGGCTGGGAGATGAGTGGTTGGAGAGCTGCCAGGCAGAGAAGAACCTGGGAGTGATGGTGGACAGTCGGCTGAATATGAGCCAGCAGTGTGCTCAGGTGGCCAAGAAGGCCAACGGCATCCTGGCTTGTATCAGAAACAGTGTGGCCAGCAGGGCTGGGGAGGTGATCGTCCCCCTGTACTCGGCTCTGGTGAGGCCACACCTCGAGTACTGTGTTCAGTTTTGGGCCCCTCGCTACAAGAAGGACATGGAGGTGCTTGAGCGGGTCCAAAGAAGGGCGACGAAGCTGGTGAGGGGCCTGGAGAACAAGTCCTACGAGGAGCGGCTGGAGGAGCTGGGCTTGTTCAGCCTGGAGAAGAGGAGGCTCAGGGGCGACCTTATCGCTCTTTACAGATACCTTAAAGGAGGCTGTAGAGAGGTGGGGGTTGGCCTGTTCTCCCACATGCCTGGTGACAGGACGAGGGGGAATGGGCTTAAGTTGTGCCAGGGGAGTTTTAGGTTAGATGTTAGGAAGAACTTCTTTACTGAAAGGGTTGTTAGGCACTGGAACAGGCTGCCCAGGGAGGTGGTGGAGTCACCATCCCTGGAAGTCTTCAAAAGACGTTTAGATGTAGAGCTTAGGGATATGGTTTAGTGGGGACTGTTAGTGTTAGGTTAGAGGTTGGACTCGATGATCTTGAGGTCTCTTCCAACCTAGAAATTCTGTGATTCTGTGAAAGTGCAGGAGAGTTACTTTGCTTCTCGCTTAAAACGATGAATTCTGTGCTGATGGGAGTTTGATCTTGGAAATCTGAGTGAGAGGTCCATAAGAACACATCAGCATTCAGTAGCATTCAAAAATGCAAATCAAATGATGGGATTGTTAAGAAAGGCATAAAGAACAAAACAACCCCCAACTGTATAATACTGTATAAATGCTTCATTGTTCATTTGCACCTAAAATAAATGGGGGGTGGGGAGGGATTTGCAGCTCTGATAAGCAGCTAATTACACCTTTTTGCAGTTTGATCTGGTGCATTTTTGAAATGGATGGAATTCAAGGATAGAGTAGAATGGTTTTGTTTTAGTGTGGCATCACTATGTCTCTATGGAGGGCACCATATGTACTACATTCATATGTTGGTTTTGACAGAAATAGCTTCCCTATTCAGCTGACTTCTACGACTTGAATTGAAAAGTCAAAGTGCCTCAGTTAGTTGTAATACTTTCTCTTCTCTTTTCTTCCACCCCAGTTGGAGCAACAATGTACAGAACTTCTCAGTGGCAAACAAGAAACCAAAGTAGAGAATGCCAAGCTGAAGCTGACTAACCAGGAGCTGCTGGATGACCTAGTGAGAACTTCTCATGATCTGCATTTGGCTCAACAACAGTTACAGGTTCTTCAGGAGGAAGCATCAAGGCTAAATGAGGAAAAGGAAATGTAAGTCATCAACTGATGAGGTTCTAATGCTTTTGCCTGGCGAGCTGGTGAGTTTCCTTCTCAAGGTACTCAGTGTTGTGATTTGAACCTGTGTTATTAGCAGAAACCACCAACAAAGCCAGTTCTAGTCATATTTCCCCAAGTAACTCAACATGTTTTTTGTTGTAGCATGCTGGCTTCTGCAGAATCTTTTGCTGCTTCTTCAAAATGTGAATGTTCTCCTCATTCCCCCATTTTTCGAGGTTGTTTAGAATAATAAAAAAAATAGTCTAAACTAGTTTTAAAAGTATGTTTTAGTTTTGAAATACCAGTGAAATTAAAATTAGTTGTGGCACATTAATTCATACTCCTCAAAGCTCTATCCATGTGAAGTTCACTTCTCCAAATGTATTGTGACTATGAGACAACTAGGATGTACTTCTGTCCATCAAAAACAAGTCTAATTCATAATTTTTGACCAAGGAGCTTGGCCAGCAAGATAAAAGGCAGCTTATGCTGCTAAATTAAAGCTCACACGAGGCTTTGTGGTGATCCAGACCATCATTCTGTTGAAATGTTTTGGATCTCAGATGCTGAATGTAAAAATATTTTTCAAGAAGAAATATTTAAGATTCATATTTTGAAGGGTAAAAATGGCCTTTAAGTGACAGATCAACCTGTCTTGTTCTGTTCCAGCCTTCTGCATAAGGAGAAATATACATTACATTGAAGTTATAATTTGCAGAAGAGTTCATTGGAGGCCTTCTAATAGAAAATGTTTTTTCAAAAATGGTCATGGATCTGTAAAACTCTCTTGTTGCCTATGGAGAGCAGATGGATGACATACAGTGGTGTGCATATCTTGCTAGAAGAAATAAATTTCATCAATCAACTATGTAACTCAAGAATTGTGGCTATTTGGCATATTTCAAATGTCATATTCTTTGTCTGTTAAGCATCGTGCCAAACTCTAGTTAGTTACCGCTAATTTATTTTTTCTTGAAGGTATAAACAATGAACGTTGTTGATAAATGATTGTTTAGAAACTGGCACTGTGTTTAGAAGCCTATTTTTAGGTTTGCATATTTGATGTGTGATTTGGAAGTAGGCAGTAGAAATATTCCTCCTCAAGGCAGTTTGTTTCCTCTTTGAGGCCTCTATTTTCAGATCCAGAGCAAAGACTATGGAATGATCTGGTTTTAAAACTACAGAGGAAATCAGCCCAGTGGCCAGACTGCTACAACATTTGCAAAGCACTTTGGACTCAATAGTAGTTTATGGAACCAGATCTCAGCCCTACTCAACTGTACCTACAGTGTTGTTTTAAACATCTGTATCAGTCTGGTAAGACCTGAGTTGTTGAAGCAGGTGTAATATTCAGACTGCACACAGGAAGAACTTGAGACTTCACAGAACAGCAGAACACATTTAAGGCCAGACATCGTTGCATGAAGTTAAAGCAAATGGTGTAAATACAGTACAAATATCTGATACTCTGCATTCAGTATTTAAGGTTGTACAACTATTTAAGTCATGAACTGAAAATAACTTTTAGGGATTGCAGACATGTGAGAATGACCTGTGGTCGCAGCAGGAAGATAAACTCAAATTTTGGTTAAAATGTAAAATGTTGCATGGTCTTCAGTGGCCATGAATGAGAAGGATTTCAGCTGTATGTCTTCTCTGAATGATGTGTCAGTATCAACATATACTAAGATCCTTGGATGAAGAAATTATAAAACCTCTATCTTTTTTAAAAAGAACCCCTACTTCTACCTTTGCTAACTTAAGCTGCTGTGATTCTGTGGGCCTTGGGCTAAATAAACTTCTTTTCTTAAACTAGTAACCAATCATACAGAAAAATGTCTACAGTTTTGGAGAAGCTGAAGTCTCAAATGTGGATACTCCTAGAGGGAAACATTTAAGCATTTTGCTACCATGGTTAGAAAAATTTTCTGTATTTCTTTACATTACAGAGAAGTATACCGTGTGACAGAAACCTTACAGAGGGAGAAGTCAGGACTTCTGAAACAGCTGGATTTCTTAAGGTAATGCAAACCTTACTTTCAAGAACTTCTTACATCATTCTAAAGATGTACATTAAGGGATGAAATGATAGTAGGTTATGCATTCAGTTTATGTGTCTCAATGAGATCTACAGAGTGGCCTCTGTAAGAAGAGGCCAGGGGCTTCTCTTTGATGAACACAGCTGTTTTTAGCCAGTTCCAGTGGACCTACTGCAGGACACAGCTGAGCCCAGTAGCCAAGCTCATTGTAACCCTTGGAAAGCGTATTTAATAAAGGGCACAAAACACTGTGCAGCAGTAGAGAGAGGAGTGAGAAAAAATATGTGTGAGAAATGATCCTGCAGACAAAATGTCAGTGAAGAAAGAGGGGGAGGAGGTGCTTCAGGCCTCAGAACAGAGATTCCCCTACAGTCCATGTAGAGCTTATACAGGAACAGGCTGCTTGCAGAATCAGTGACTAGTGGAGAGGAGCCCCATAGAGGAGCAGATTTTCCAGCAGGAACTGCAGCTGGTGGAGAACTCCTGCTGGAGCAATCTTTTCTTGAAGGACCATAGCCCATGGACAGGACCCACAGTGGAGGAGTTTGTGAAGGATTAGCCTGTGAAAGGGACCCCACCTTTTAAGGGAAAAGTGTGAGGAGAAAGGAGCAGCAGAGAGGAACTGGTGTGGATTGACCACATTATCCTGTTATCATTCCCTGTGCAGTGCTTGGGAAGAAGTAGAAGAGTCTTGAATGGAGGCATGAGTTTCAGTCTGAGAAGAAAGGGGAATGTGGGACTGTGTTTTTAATTTTTCTTCATTTCTTACCATCCTACTCTATTTTTAAGTGGCAATAAATTTTATTAGTTTTCCCAAAGTTAAGTCTCTTTTGCCTGTGACAGTAATTGGTAAGTGGTCTGCCTGCCTTTATCTCTACCCATGAGCTTTTCCATCATATTCTCTCCTCCTCCTGTCCTGTTGAGGAAGGAGCATGAGGGACTGTGTAGCCAGCAACCAGCCAAGGTCATCTCACCATAAGATAATGAAACAAAAGGTAGTAAGATGGGTACAAAAAGCAATCTAGCTTTTAAGCCCTATTCTTAGGGCAGTAGAAGACAGTAAATGTGAGAGATGTTCTTTGTTTTGGCAATTTGGTAACTGGGACAAGCTCCTTCCAAAATGTAAAACAAAACAAGACTATGAACTGTTCTAAGTTGCCTTTGTGGCAGGAGCTTGGCCACTGGAGACTTGAAGCTTGATAAAAGTCTCTGTTATTTCTAAAGTGATGGAAATACTGCCAAAATGAAGAAGACTCTTACCCAAATGTGTTTATTTGTAAAATTACATAAAAATATACCCAGCTAATTTTCTCTGTAACATTTGTGTATTGAAAGACTTCAAGTTTGGAGTTGTGTTCAGACAATTGTAACCCTTTTTTAATAAGAAGCAAGTTTAGTTTTGTTTGTTCACTGGCTACAGGTTGTACTTGCCTGTGGGCCTTCACTCACTACGTTTAGTTCAGGAGCTCTGATTTAAAATTTACCTAAATCACTCCCATGCTAAAGTTTGAGGAATTTGCAGCCTGTTTCCTGTAGGCTGCTCCATGTGGGATGGTGTTGCCTGCTACTAGTAAGGGGGCAATAGATAGAAACATTCTATCAGTTCACCAAGGCTGCAGTGGCACCTCAGTCTGTTTTCTGGCCACGCCAGCAATAAATGGAGACAATGAGTGATGTACTGAGCAGGTGTATTGTCAGATTTCATCAGAGCTGGCTGAATGCCTAGAGTCTACATTTCTTGATGTTTTCATCTTTTCTGCATAATGAATGAAGCTGGATGTTCTTCTAGAGGGACTTTTCCATGGCTGTGTGATGATTAAAAAGCTTATGGCCAGCTACGCTCCACCAAACTGCTTTCTCACTCCCCCTCACAGAAGAACATGGAGAGAAAATATGATGAACAAAAGAAAAGCCCATGGATTGAGATAAGGAGTAGTTTAATGACAGGAAAAGAGAAAGTGAAGGCCATGCAGAAGCAAAATAAGAAAATTTTTCTCTACTTCCCATCAGCAAGTGATATTCACCCATGTTTTGAGAAGCAGGGCCTCAATATGCATAGCAGTTGCTTGGGAAGACAAGAACCTTCATAACTAGAACCCCAGATTCTGCTTCTCCTTCTCCAGCTTTTATTACTAAACACGATGTCATACAAAATATACCTTTTGTCACTTTAGGCCAGCTGTCTTGGCTATGTCCCCTCTCCACCTCTTTCCCATCCTGAGCCTACTGGCTTTTGTGAGTTGGGAGGAGTTGGAGAGACAGCCTTTATGCTGTGCCAGCATAGTTCAGCAACAGACAAAATATAGGTGCACTACCAGTGCTGTTCTGGCTACAGTTGTAAAGCTCAGCACTATATGGCCTGCTGTGTAGAAAGATTCATCCCAGGCAGACACAACTATAGCTCTCAGGGGGGTGTAACTGACCTTCACAGATCTCACCAGATGAACAGAGGTAGTGTTCATTACACCCTTTTCTCATTAAGAAGTCATGTATACTGTGAAAAGCTTTAAATATTCTAATTCAGAGTAAGTAAAAGCATATTGACTAGGACTGATTTTGATGTATTAAAGCATTTGTTTTGATAAAGTACAGAATGAGGGCCAGATGCCAGCTGGCTTTGATTGGCATAGCCCCACCGAAGACTCAGTAGTCCAGACAGGGAGCTGACTGTGCTAAGAATATAAATAGAGCATGATTAAGGGTGGAGATGTGCCAAATTAAAGTGCATTTTTCTTGCTTTTTACACAGTCAGCTGTTCAGTCTGTTGGTGTTGAGTAGAAAATCCAGAAGTTTTATATACTTGGCCTCAGTGTTTCTTTTGTGTTCCCTCTTTGCAGGGAGAGGAACAAACACCTCAAAGATGAACGTGACATATTTTTACAGGTAAAGACTATCATTTTCAATCCCAGTGTTGAACAAATACATATAAAAACAGCTTTGAAATATGGGTATCAGAAGGCTGTGAAGGAGATAGACTTTTATGCTACTCCTTTTTTGCTCCATTCTTAATTTATATCATGTTCTCTCTTATGTGAGCATATGATTTTTAAATGTACTGAATAATTTTTAAGAGCTACATTTTTGGTATTATAAAGTTGGAGCTATCTTAAGGAAGATGAACCTATTTTATAAGAAGCTAGGGTTGCAATCATGAGAGGATGAAATAAACTAAAAATGGAACAATTAAATTGAGGTAATTATTCAGTCAAGAGTAGCTGATCTGAAGCATTCACAGAACAGTACAACATGTGAGTACTTGAATCAGTACCTGAATATCTGTCAGTATTGGAAAAGAGCAGATCATATTAACTTTTCATCCAGCAGTAGAGAATGATCCCCTAAGAAGTTCCAGAAGTACCTTGGCTTCAGGAGACTAAGACCACTTAGTTTACAGTTATTTGTGTTCTTATCCCTACAAGAAGGTGCTAGGGTAAATTGCCATAGATCTACTGATATTTTTCATGTCATTTTGTGGCTTTTTTGTGGTTCACTTTGTTTACAAAGATGATTTATTCTTGCAGGGTCTGGAATTTCCATGTTCTGATTGTCTATCAGTCAGAATTTTAAAGCATTTATGCCTCTAGAATGTTTTTTTCTACATTTTTTCTGTCATATTCATTGAGTTATTTCAGCATAAGTAATGAAGACAGCTAACCATAATGAGCAGGAGTAAATTAGTAAAAGTATTCTATATTTGTGCAGCAATGCAAAACAAGTGCTCGAAAAGCCAGCTGGAAGCAAAGAACAGGGTCTGTCATTGGGAAATACATAGAAGGCAATGTGCTGCCTAGTAGGTAAGAACTTTTTTATTTATTCCCTAATTCTTATTTAAGTATATTAGGCTTATATAATGGTGTGGGATATTTTTTTCCAGGATTATTTCCTTCCAATATTACTAAGCATTTGGACTTTTCAAAGCATGTATTTTTAAAGCGTCTTATTTTAAGATTGATGTGCTCTCTAAGAAATTTGGAAATAAAGAGACAATTTTTCATCTAAAACAAGTGTCCAGTCTCCAAAGGCAAGAGACTTCTGCAGTTGTGGGTGATGGGAAACACAGAAACATACCCATTGCCCAGTGCTGATATGGTACAATGTCCTTAGTAAGTCCTTGGAAGTGTATGCTTCCTCCCTTCTCATCGTAAGGGACCAGTAAGTAGCCCAGTTGTAAAGTATGGGAAGTTGAACTAGGGAAAAATGGGGAATCAACTCTCATCTGCATGATTGTGAACTTGAAATCAAGAGGAACAAGATGGTGATCTCAGTGAAATACTATCATATTTCTTTTGAGGCAAAAGGAGCTAGAAAGAAGACTGCTGTGTCACTTGGAAATAGCAGCTAAGACAACGTCCCCACCAGCCCAAGATCATGAAATGTAGGAAGAAACAGGATGCAGAGATAAATTTTTGTAAGTTCAGTACCAAGAAGTGGAGTGTGTTGGGCAAAAGCAATCATGACCCAAAAATCATATAAAAATTTAGATGGGAAGGGACTTTTGGATGGCTGTAGTCCAACCTCCCTCTCAAAGCAGGAATAACTCCAAAACTAGATGAGGTTGCCTAGGGCCGTATCCAGTTGAGTTTTGAACATCTGGATGGAGTTCCAGAAGTCTTTTGGGGAACTTGTTCCCTTGCTGTATCAGTCTCATGAGGAAATGTCATTCCCTTTATCTGATCAGCATTTTGTGTACTGCAGCTTGCATCTGTAGTCATTGCACTTACCTGAGAAGAGTCTTTTTCACTACCCTTTTGCTTTTGTAAAATCCCCACTTAGCTTTTTTTGCTTTTTTTTTTTTCTCCTCCCTTTTAAACAAACCCAGCTCCCTCCTACCTGCAAAGAGAGAATTAAATCACACATAGAAAGCGTCTAGATGAAGTGGTTGTTTTGTTTTTCCAGAACAGGCAGATGTTTGTGTGTGTACATGAGGAAATCACAATAGAGAAATTTACTGTAGCTATTCCATGAGGTTAGAAACGAGGCTAAACTTATGTTTTTTTTCTCTTCTGGTTCAGGCTTCCCCTGGAAGTTATTAGCTTTCCCCATGATACTTGTACTTATTAAGCGCACTATATACATACACCTTGTGTGATGAACTGACTTTTCAGTAGACACTAGACTGAAATAAGTATGCCTGCTGCAAGTAGTAACAACATGAGAGATTAAATTCAGTTATACTAGGAAAGAAAACAATAGGAATCTAGGCCCAGTATATTTTTTGTAATCTATTTACTTTTTCTCTCTGTCTAGCTGTTCATTTGAAGATGATGTTTTCAATAACTCATCAAAAAGAATGAATTCTGCTGGATTGAATGGATTTCCCTCTGTTGATCCTGATGCTGGAGCCACTGGAGGAATGTCTAAAGCATCCCATCTCCAAAGAATAATATCAATTGAGGAAGATCATTTACCCCAGCTTCTTGATAGGTCGGTTGATAAGCAGCTGAGCAAACAGACAGAAGATGAGAGTACTTCTTTTGAGATGGAATTAGATAAGAAAAACACAGAACCATCAATGGAACACTCACCACCATCTTCTAGAGGGCAACCAGCAGGGAAGGAAGCGCTTTCAAATGTAAGGGGTCAAAGGACCTTGGAAAACATAAAATGATATGGTGTTGAAGAGGTTACCATAACATATTACTCCTAGAATCTAAAATTGTTTGGTTTTCTCTTTGTAAGTAAAGTCCAAAAGATTAGGCCATTGCATGAACAGGGAGATGGAAATGTACTGAGGATTAATTTCGAATGTGCAAAGAAGGGAAACTTGGCCTAAAGAAATGGTAACTGCAGGCAATGTCTTTTTACGTCTGCAAAAGCAAAACCCAGCAAACTAGTAACATATTTCTGGACAGATTTGTTGAGTATTAGAAAACAAATTATGAAGGATTGTTTAGGAAAAGTGAAGTTAAGCCTTCTAATAAATGACAGAAGAAATCCACCAAAGAGTAGCAGTTGTCCAAAAACGAAGCAACTGTCTTTTAGACATTTAAATAGAGAAATTGCTCTTTTTTTTTGTCAAAAAGTGATATTTCTCATAATCTGATAATTTTCAGTCAGCTTTGGTAGCTGTTACATTACCAGAGAAATGACGAGATAAATATTCTTAATTTATTTATTATTTGAAAAGACTTTTAATTGACAAATTAAAATCCAGATTTTTTTCAACTCTAGATTTTATGTGCATGCTAACAGTGAATTTGCCATGCAATAACAATCTGTAAAACAATATGCTTGAAGGTACTTTTCTTTGTCTTCTAAAATCCTGTTGCACTCCTATTGCTTCAGAGCTAGCTGTGCTTGTGATCTAAGTTTAGTATCATTGTTAAGTATTACTCATTGTTAGATTCTTGAAGCACATATTAAAAAGATTAAGGCACAGGAAAAATAGGTATGTTTGGTCATAATTATATAGTTCTTTTAGAAAAAGCAAGTGTATCTCAAACTATGATAGAATTATGCCATGGTTGCATAATAACTTCTAAGTGGTACATTTTAATAATAATAATAAAAAAATAGGGCACAGAACAGAGCTTTAACCTTTGAAATGATTAATGTAATGCATACTTTTTGCTTGCTTTATGATTTATTTTGTATTGCATTTTCAAAGTATGGCATCATGGGACTTTGGTACAGCAAAAGCCAGGTACATCATCAAGTCCAGCTAGAACAAACCTGTCTTTTTGCTCCGTTTTAGCAGTCATGCCTTTTGAAAGCATATCCTCTCAACTGGGTATGAAATGGGCCTTCCCTCAGATATTGTTTCTTTATTTAAAAATTTAAAAAAAATCCCATAAATGGTTGAGAACAAGAGGGGAGAGAAAATAAGAAACCAGAAAATGTCTCCTGCCTGTTTGTTGAAAACATTTAATATCAGTTTCTAAAGAAGCAATGTGAGGGTAAACAGGAAGGCTATTTCCAAAGGTCACTTAGAACTGGGCATTCCAGTTTTGTTTCTATGAAATGTCAACACCTTGCATCAATCCTTCATTTGACTGTGGTTTTTTTTTGGCCTCTTCTCTTCTCTTCTCTTCTCTTCTCTTCTCTTCTCTTCTCTTCTCTTCTCTTCTCTTCTCTTCTCTTCTCTTCTCTTCTCTTCTCTTCTCTTCGCTTCGCTTCGCTTCGCTTCGCTTCGCTTCGCTTCGCTTCGCTTCTAAAAAAAAAGTAGTTAAAAGAAAAACACATCAGGGTATTCGTTTCTGATAAACTCTTTTTTTCTGTATGGAATTGAAATATGTACATAGTCCTCTTGTCCTGCTGACAAGGCTGAAAGAATCAATCCTGAAATATTGCTTGTCTCCAGATACAGTGGAAGAGGAAGGGCTGCCAGCAACCATTCAATTGACAGCATTCCATTGTTTGGAGCAGTCTGCAGGCTGTGTGTCTGCATGTCACAACTTTTAGTCTGATAATTTTTTTGTACAACTTTGCATTTCCAAAATGATGGCTCTTGGGACCCACTACTCTTTGACCATGGGATTTAGACATCAGAAGTGATCTTTCTTCATCCAGTGTTAGCACACTGATTTCCTCTCCTGACAGAGTGAGTGGGCTGGGAGGAGCAGTATTACTTTTTTCAGGGTAACTCTGCATCTAGTTTTCCCCTGGAGCTCAAGAAAACTTCAGAAAAGGTAAATCCCTACTTGCTGCATCATGACTTATGAGGTGTGAGTCTCGGGGACATATTTAAACTAGACTGGCTCCTTCCTTCTGCTTCCAGTCCTTCTCCCCCTTCATGTCTTGCTGTTCAGGAGGATCTGCAGTTTGAAGTCCTGTAGGATCTAGAAATACTTGTGCAGTGGTGGTAAAATGATTCCATAAAATTGTTTTGTGTGTAGTTCACTCACATATGAAGTCCAGTTCTTCTTTGTTTTGCATTAGGAAGAGGAAGGACCTGAGACAACCTTTATTTTTCAATTCATTGGCATCTGTTCTTGTAGTCTACATGGCTTTGTATTATTGCATTCCATGATCTCATTCTTTACTATACTGAGCTCAGGCTCCTAGCTGTTGGCATTAAACTTCCTATTCACCAAATATTCACAATCATTTAGCTTATAATCCTTTATGATCTACTGCATCTTAAGGGAGAATAGAACCAATGTAAACTTTTTCTCCTTTCAGACATGAACAAGTCCAATCCTATCCTATGGAAAGTGGTTTCTGAAAGTGTCTAAGAACTTGGAGCAACAGCTCTTTTATTTTGGGAGATAATAGTCAGGTAGAGCATTTTTCTAATGGGAGGCTCTGAAAAAGAGGCTGCAGTTAGCATAAGCAGAAATGTGATTGGAAGAATCATGATGGAAATTAAAATAAGACCTGTCCAAAGCCTCTCTCTGAGATGTAATTCCTCTCCCTCTGCTCTTTCAATATGGAATATGAACCACCGTGTTTATATGTACTGTCTTCCACAACTGTGTTAAATTGCACAAATTTAACAAGCAACAGGTATGTTGTTTGACCTGGCTACCCTTTACATGAAGGCCACTCGAAAGACATAGTTAGGGAAGCTGTTTTCAGACTGCATTGTAATCTAAAGAAAATTTACATTCTAATGCTCTTGCATTTTCCCATCCGCACTTTGTTGAAGTGGACTATAATGTATCTCATCTCTTTGTATGCAGTGTTCAGATGCAGTGTTGGAATAGTATTTGATTAAGGTGGGTTATTTACACGAGTGGGCTTGATCCATCTAAATGGAAAATTATTGCCTCTGGTGTCTTTGAATCTTAATGCTACTGAGGAGTGTATGACCACACAAGTGTCTATAAAACAGACAAGTTATTTCAGGTCATGGAGTACATTTATTTAGTTATTGTTCTCAGAAGTACTGTGAAAAGGGCGCTAAGCTGATGGTTGCATGTTAACTTGTTTTATCTCCCAGAGCAAAAGACTTACAAGCTATTAATGTTTTTCAGAAGAGATGAGAATGTGCTTTAAATAGCACATTTATATAGTGTATTACCAGCAGGCTACAGTTGCAGTGGAGTTTGACATTTTAATATAAAAGAAGTGGATAAGGAATCTCTGTATAGATTTCCCCAAATTTACAGCAGTGAATTGATTTTTTCATAGAAAGGAGGACAGCAGCTTTTTTTTTTCTCCATGCATTGCTTATGCTTTTTTTTTTTTTTTTTTTTTTTTTTTTTGTAAGGCTTCAGTATATTTGTAGAAAACATTTGCAATGCAAGGCTTTTAATTGTCTTGTTTGAAAGGACTGTCAGGCAAGGGATCCAGTTCTGATGTGTCCTTAAAATCAGCAGACCCAGAGATTCTACATGTTAAATGCCTGGCAGACCTCTCCTTTCCTTTCTGCTTTCCCCTTTACTCCCAGTCACGACAAAACCCAGAAACACCCAAGGCCTTTCTCCTCTTTAGCAGCATTAGGAACATACTCTCCCTCCCATCTTTGCGCATATTAGGACAAGAGGCCAGCTAGGGCACTCCCTGCACACCAGCTAGTGTTACAGTTCTTTTTTAAGCAACTTCTGATCTATGTACAAAGAGAAGGGACTTCTCTTTGTAATGACCTACTTGACAGAGAACAACTAGTCACTGGATGCACTTAGCTTAGCCTGCAGTAAACAGCACATGGATAGGTAGAACAAATTGTTTTTCCTCCTGCTTAAAAAACTAATGACAGAAACATAGCTGAATGTTAACAACCTGTTTAACTGAGCCTAGTTATCTTCCTGTCTATCTCTTTCCCCCAGTGCCCCACCTGTAATTTTAAACAGATGTAGAAGTACAGTAATTCTGCAGAAGCTCTTGTCTCCATAATAGAGCAGGGAGAGAGTCTGGCGGTAGATGACACATGCAGAAATTATGACTTTGCTTCTTGTATGTAGGTGAAGATGTGCTGTTTCCTATGTGTCATTGGTATAGGATGAAACTACTGAGCAGAGTTCTGTGAAGTTTATGGGTTTTGATTTGCAGTGGCAAATATAAATTATTTTGTTTTGGCTGGTGTTGAGCCAATGCAATTTCATGCATTTTTTAATGTAGTTTCATGTCAAGGTATGTATTCACTGTACCCCCAGATCTCAGTCCAAATCACTGCGCTTCAAGTGATCTGGAATAATGCATAGTGAACAACCAAAACCCTGAATTATTTTAGGAAACAGAATATTGCTTTATAAGTAAAAGAACATCACAGGATAAAATCTCTTCCCATCTCAGTTAGCCTTTAAAACGAGACAAACTGGAGACAACAGTATTTATAGTAAGAAGTTGAAGACTAATTTTTGCTCTTACTTGAAGGAGGAGGTAATAAAATCTGTCCCTGACCGCTTATTCAAGATAATTTTTGTGGGCAATTCAAGTGTCGGAAAGACTTCATTCTTAAGACGATTTTGTGAAGATCGTTTTTTCCCAGGCACAGCTGCCACTGTAGGTAAGTCTAAGAAACATTATTACTATTATTGCAGTAAAATAATAAATAAATTCTATAAATACTACAAATAATAAGAATAAAAAATATGTAGAATAAATACCGTTTTAAAAGTATTGTATTACTGTTAAAAATAATATAGTTCCAACCCCCTGGCTGTGGGCAAGGACTTCTACCTCTAAATCAGGTTGCTCAAAGCCCCATCTAACCTGGCCTTAAACACTTTCAGGGATGGGGCATCCACAGCTTCTCTGGGCAACCTGTTCCAGTGCCTCACCACCCTCACAGTAAAATAATTTCTTCCTTATATCTAAACTAAACCCACCCCTGTTTAGTTTAACATTATTACTCCTTCTCCTATCACTACACCTGCTGACAAAGAGTACCTTTTCTGCTTTCTTGTAGGCGTCATTTTAGGTACTGCAAGGCCATTTTAAGGTCTCCCCAGAAACTTCTCTTCTCCAGGCCAAACAAACCCAAATCTCTCAGCCTGCCTTTGTAGGATAATCCTATTGCCTTCAGTGAAGCTAGAATTTCATTGTAGGTCTTGTTGTTTTGAAACTGATATCCTACCCTGTGGACTGTGGTGTACTGTACCATCCCACCTCCATATCTTATTGCCATCGGTCCAAATAATATGACTTTCTTTAAAGAGAAAGTAAAAAATCTGAATTATACTTAAAGATTTAACATTATACAAAGCCACAAAGACATATAGTAGACCAATGTTTTCAAAGCTAAATGCTTACATTGTAATTGTATTGCCTGAAGTTTTAAAACAAACTTTCATAAGTCCAACACATAATCAAGGTACTAAAATTAGCAGGTTATTTCAATGCAGCTGACTTACTGTAAATGTGTGGTTCATTACATTTAGCCTGTATTTATGCCTTACTTATCCTGCAGGATGTAGAAAATGAAACATTTTAGCAATAAAATATATTTAAATTAATGTATTTATCTTGCATTTGTGACAAGCAAAGAAAATTTAGGTGACCAGGTCCTGTAATTCCCTTGACTTACAGGGCAGATAAAGGCATCTGAGTTTAAATTTCTATTAGTATGTTAAACGTCTAAGTTCACATTAATGTCAGTGAAGATCTAAGATGTTAGTATGGGGATTTTAACTCATTTTGGCACTACAGAATATCACTCAAAAGGGTAATATTGATATGCTTCCCTAGACTCTGAGGTCTTATACAGTGTGTGCTTGCCTGGACCTTCCAGAGAAAAAGCATAGGGATGTACGTGATGTTTTCATCTTTTGGCTTGCCATACAGAGATCATGCAAATGCAATGGCAAGCAAGTATAGCTTTGATTTAGTTTTCACATCAAGCAGTTTCACAGCTGTGGATTGTTATATGCCTGTGAAGATACAGTTAAAAAGCAAATCACCTGGATAAAAGTTTGTTGTTGTTGTTTGTTTTTTTTTGTTTTTATGACATTTTTACAGCATAGTTCAAATTTCTTCCCTTGGAATACATGCAATGAATATATCCTCCATCCAGATTTCTTGATTACACACTGAACAAACTCAGGCTTGGATGCTTCTTCATTTATGGCAGTGGTAAAGAATCCCATGATATGGAAGATGAACACAAAGAAATTGTTGGTGACCTCTTGTGGTCCCTTTCAACCAGAATTATTCTATGATTCTGTGATACAGTACGGTGGGATACAATAGAGTGCACATTGTCATTAGGAGGAGGCAGTGACTGATAAAGATTATAGTTATTGTTATAAATATCCAGAAGATACTTAGATCATCATATGATGGGGGAACTGGTAGAAGATTCATTAAAACTTCAGATGTTTTTATCTTATTTCCATTTATCCACATTAAAATTAGGAGACAAAACCTAACTTAGTAAGTTCATCTCCTTCTGTATTCTGTGGAGAACCTCCTCTCTTCATATTCAGTCCATATATCTTCAGCATTTAGCTTAGGTTCCACTATCCCCTCAGTGTGGTACCTTGTGGTTTTCCACTAATTGTAGAAGATATTTGCATGGCTAGATGCAGACTAAATGATGAAATTTCAGACTACTGAAGTTATAAAGCATGAATTCCAGCTCAGACTGAAGTTGGAATAAAATAGCTCAGACTGCTTTGGACTATCAGGGGGGAACATTTGACTCATGTACCCTGATTTGGAAAGTTACCTTATAGTTTTTATAAAATTAAAGTACTCTGCTAATATTCAGTATTTTATTATTGAAGAAATTCTATCAAATAAAAGCTCTTGCCTGATAGTTACAGTTCATGGACATAAGTTTTAATGTGATATCTATGTTGTTACCTTTCTGAAATTGTTGCTATTTGCTGGAACGTGTTCTCAAAGGTCAGACTGAATATTTAAAGAGACAACTTACTGTGTATTTCTGTCACAGGTGTGGATTACAATGTGAAAACCATCACAGTAGATAATACCCAGGTAGCCCTACAACTCTGGGACACTGCTGGCCAGGAACGGTGAGAAACAGAATATTTTGCTTCCTTGAAACATCTGTTTAAAGATCAGTAAGCATGGACATAATTCTGCTTTTCATGAAAGGATCAAATATAGGAATATTCCTAACAAAGCCAGTGGATTAATGGTTTAGATCCTTCCCTGGCAACAATAATGTGCTAATTTGGTGCTGAGTTATCCATTCAAACACTGTCAGTCTGTAAAGAAATTCTTATTATAACTCTTAAAAGTATAATATGGTATGACTTCTTCAGGAGGAAGGCTGATTTTGAAATGTACCTGGAATTATTTCTATAGCAGAAGTTGCCTTGTTAGTTAAAAAAAAAATACATATATATATATATTATTTTTTTTTCTCACTGAAGGAATGCCTTTCTAGTTCAAGATCTAAAAGGTTTTATAAATTTTCAATGGTAATTTTCTTCCCTATCTCCTCACCCATTCTGGGGTTTTCTATTACTAAAAACGAGGATAATGATAATGTTTTGAGTTTCCTACAGAAAATGTGGGAAAAACAAACAAACAAACAAACAGAAATCTGTCTACTTTAAGGCAGAACACTTTGTGATGGAGAAATTTCTTCTCCATGCTTAAAATGAAAGAGGGTAAGGAAAGTTAAGATGTGTAGCTGATTATCCAGACTAACCCAGAATTGATTAAAGAAGGCAGAAGGTACTTTTCAAAGCTCCTCTCCAAAATATTTTTTGCAAAGAACTTATTTGCTGTTGCAGTCATTTCTGGTAGTAGTGGCCTTTGGAAATCTGCTGCTGAATGTGAAAAGGGGGCTGATTTACTCAGGAAGATGGTATTGCTTACCACAGTTCATGATATGCCTCACCTTTCAAATAGTATCTGCAGTGAAGAATGGTATCACAGCTTCTTGCTTCTCAAGTTAAGGAATTTTAAAATTAATATGTAAACAAAATTGATGACATTTTAACCCATATTAAGACTAAATGATTAGAAGAAACTATATGGCAACATCCTCCTTTTGTGGTGGGTGGGGGTGAATTATCGTACAATTTTACTAATGTTGTCACATTGCTACTTCTGCTGAAGAGATGTATAAACATTCATACTTGCAGGTACCGAAGTATTACCAAGCAGTTTTTCAGAAAAGCTGATGGTGTCATTGTAATGTATGATATAACAGCAAAAGACACATTCACAGCTGTCAAGCAGTGGCTGATAAGCATTGAGGTAACGTGACATAACATTAAGTCTAAACTTTGGTGTCACTATTCTCTTCCTTCTTTCAGGCAGGGAAGATTAGCAGGGCAAAGCACAGACAAGTCTGTTTCTTGCACTGTAACAATTACATTTTTGTTAGTGATTTTGTGCTGTACAGTTACCAATAAAGCTGTTTTAGAAACTCCACATATATAAAAATAATCACAATGCCAGGATTTTAAGGACTTAAAATGAGGGCTGGAGAAAGTCCAACATGGACTCCTTTACTTTTTCATAAAGGTTATCTAGCTGATGATGTGTATTGGATCATCGCTGACACTAGGAGGTGCTTTGATTCGATGATGATGGTATGATGATCACTAACAGTTTAACAAACAAACTATGAACTTATAGTTTAGAAACTTTATAGTTACTATATAAACCCATAGTTTATATAGTATCTACATTCAGTACTATAAAACTGGTTCTTAGTAGACAGTTCAGTTTCCTGGGGATCATCCTTTCAACTGCATAGTAAAAATCATAGTGCATATGCCAGAGTGGCTTCTGTTAATTTTCTTTCTTTTCTCTTGGTATATCTCTGTGGCTCACAGACAACATATGGAGAATGTGAGCAGCTGAATTTGCTTATGGCCAAGGGAAAATAAAAATAAAACCTAGGCTGCTGCCATTAAGGACTGTGTTGCTAGAGAGAACAAAATGTGACTATCATTGTAAAGTATTGCTTCTGAAAAAAACAGGGAACAAATTGGCCTGCCAAGATCATTTAGACCTGTGTTCTAGTATAATGTACTGTTTTCTTTAAAGGCCAGTAGGTGGTTTTGCAAGTTAAGGACTTAATTTTTCAAATCTTTCCTAATGGGCATAGTTAATCCCCATTTGAGGAGCTCTACTGAGGAGCTCCAGTAGTAGCATGCATTTTGTAAGAACTAGCCTTTGTTAATATATGATCTTAACAAATCAATGGCAGTTATGGTGTTATGGTTCAGTATGATAAAAGCTAGAGGAGAACTCCCATTTTCGATTAAGAAAAATCAAAGGTTATGGTCAAAATCTTTTTTTTTTTCTTTTTTTTTTTTTTTTCCTAGTTGTACTTGTTCACTCACCTTTACTGACTAATTTTGTTTTATACAAATTGGTGGTAAGTTGAAGACATACAGCCAAGTCCATTTCCTGCTGTGGCATTTGGACCACTATATGAATGTATTTGTTGTGGTAATTCTAATAATTTTCATTTTCAGTTTTAATTTGTGCCTGTTCCAGGTATTTTTGTGCCTATTCTGTGTGCCTCTCCACTATTTTCTATAATTTATTTGTGGTAGCTGTACCCAGAAGTTGTCATTAATTTCCCATCCATGTAATTAGAAAAGTAGTGGCTATTAACAATGTCAAAGCCTGTGTAACATGATAGTTTTCTCTATCTCATTTTACTATAGAGACTGATGGGCTTCTATGATGGCCTGTTATAAAAAAAAGCAAAATTGGTGCAACCTCTAGCAGTCTGTCATATTTGTACCTTTTATCCAAATTTAATTCATGATATGTTTGTATATAAAGCACCATGCTAATACGTGACGTCTTAATTTTTTTCTTGCACTGTGACATTTGTCTCTTCTTATGCTCTTGGTCTGCATTTTTTTTTAAGGAAAATGCTTCATATGGTATTTATCCTTCAATCTGCAGGAGGAAACAGGGGAGAATGTACCTGTGCTTTTGCTGGGTAATAAAACTGATAATGAAAAGGAACGCGAGGTCCCTAATGGAATGGGAGAGCATCTTGCTAAGGTACTATACTTAGAAGTAAAGTCCTTACAAAACTTGAAGGTGAAGGCTTTTAAATGGAGTCTGAAGGTATCTAAATTCATAGAAGCACAGATTATTTTTAATCAGACAAGTATTTTTAAGGATGAGGAACCTGATAATACTTGTCAATGTAGGTGTCAGTAATGTTAGTGCTGATAATTATAGTAGTTATAAAATCATCTAGATGAAAAAACAGAAGGTGAGTGGTGTCAAAGATATTTAAGAATTCATTCTCTCTTGTCTCCTCCCTCTTTTTTCTTTGTGCTTTCTTTTTCTCTGTTTTTTCCCCTTCTATTTTTCTCTCCTTTTTTTCTCTCTTTCCTCTGTGGATTGATTCCTAACAGAGAGATAATCTGGGGACCTTTTCTCCCTCCTACCTCATGTAATACCACAGTAGACCATCTGTTATTCCCATGGATAGTAGGAGTAGAAAATGTGTTTACTTTTAGTATCTTTCCATCCAGTAGAGAAAGAAAATTAGTAGAGTTAACAGTCTGCATCTATGAGAGCACTGGTTATCCATAGGCCACATGGATAGCTTCGAGGGACTGCAAAGACACCTGTTTATAATTCCTGTATACCATGCCCATCAGCTTTTCTTTTGTAATTTGGATGCCAATGCCTACAGAATAGTCATTTATTTAGAAATAAGTCAGACCAGTATTCATAAGAATTTAACTGAAGTGGTAGGAATATAGCTAAATTAAACAATCTGTTGGGTTTCATATATGTACTTGTTTCTCCTTTGAAAACAGATTTACAGCTCTGCTTGCTGATGGTCAAGAGAGGTATAAAAAAAGATCTGAAATACAGTTGAATTGTTCTATAGGAAAGAATGCTGCCAGGCACCTCTGTGATCAATTGACAGATTGAGAGACAGATCTTGTTTTATCCCATGTTGATTATTCATACAGCCGTTTACAAGCATACCTCCTAAGTTCACGCCCATTATTTTGTTTTTGAAGGAGAGCAATATCAGCCTTGACCTTGATTTATCAAAGTTTCTTCCATTAAGAAATCTGTTTTATTTTCTTGTCAGCATAGAGATGCAGATAATATTGAGACCTTGGAGGATAGGAGGGATTCCAGAGTGTAACACGGAGTACTTCTGTGAAAAAAACAAGTGACACATAGATGCTAAATGGACAGAGTAGGTGTCTTACGTGTCATTTAACTCTCTTAAAATATTGCACTAGTGAAACTAAGATGAATCATTCCAACATACAGAATGCGCAGCCCACCAGGCCATTAATTGTAACATGTTACGCAAGAAAATAGAATATTTAACTTAAGTAAAATAAAATAGTTTTCGAATGGAATATGGTTATAATCAAATTTATGGATTTGAATGACTCATCTGAATGTTTGAATGTGCTGTTTGAGGGAACTAAGGCAAGGAATGATTAATGACAATTGATTAATTTAAAAGCAGCATAGACATAATTAAATTATAACAATGTGCTCACTGAGCTAATAATAACCACGTATTTTAATGAAATATTAATTCTTGCTAAAAGGCAGTGTGATTCTTGTGAAACCACATAAAAATATCTCTATTAGTTAATGCAATTAAATTGTTTATTTTGTGAATAATCCCAAGAATTGCTCACATGTATTTACCCAAAATACAGGGGGCTAGATGTTGAGCTGATACAAATATGCACAGCCATATTATGTGAAAATGATCATGATATTATGTGAACCTGTTCATGCAGGAAAAGAATCAGATGAGCCTGTCCACCCAGAAATCCATTAGTTTTCATGGACTTTTTCCAAGGTTTCACAGGATGTGATCATTTTTAACTAACTTTTTCTAAAGTCAGAGTAATGTGTACTTTCAAAGGCCATTCCTGCCCAGCTGTTTTAGCTCAAGTTTTGCTTCAGACCCAGATCTTACAAGTCAGTGTACTATAAATTCAGGCAGGACCCCAAGGGCTCCCATTACAATTTATGTCACAAACCTTCTTTGCAAGGCAGGCATCACAGTTCATTACTAAAAGGAAGAATGGCATCCTGAAGGGGAGAACTGTCTATTCCTCATCACTTGAGAAGACTGGTAGGTGCAGCATGATACCCCAGGAAAAGGAGAATAGAATAAGGATGGGGATTCTGGACAGTATCATAGGGAACAACAAGGCTGTGATGAAGCTTATCTGTAGTTAGATGAATTAAAGATAGGTATCATGATCGTAAAGAGAATTAACTTTGCAGGGAAAAGACACAGACAAAACAAAATGTTTACATGTAGTTCAAGACTGATTGAAACTCTCTTGATAGAGCTAATGCAAGTATAAAGAAAAATAGACAGAAAAAGGGCCAGTCTATTTGATTTTTTTTCCATAGAGAATCCAGAATGAAGTCTCCATTTAATAAATTTCTCCTTAGCTCGATTCACTGATCAAGAAAGAGTTCATATGAGGACAACAACAACAACACAGAATATGTCCAGATCACAATATGGCAATCCCAGAACAGCCAATGCTCTGTTTGAGTGAATTGGTGTAATCATTGCTAATTATTCAAATAAACTGGTTTATGATACAGGCATTCAGGCAGCATGATTTTATTTTGACCCTGCAGTCTTCCTGAATTATCTTAAATGGGCCAATAAATCATTCTGTACCTCTATTCCTCAGGTATAAAACAATATGATAATGCCTTTGCCAGTCTTGTCTGTGCAGACTGCATAAGCTTCATAGGATGAGGACTATTCTCAGAATCATGAAATGTTAGGGATTGGAAGGGACGCTGAAAGATCATCTAGTCCAATTCCCCTGCTGGAGCAGGAACACCTAAATCATGTCACACAGGAATGTGTCCTGTCGGGTTTTGAAAGTCTCCAGAGAAAGAGACTCCATAACCCCCTGGGCAGCCTGTTCCAGTGTTCTGTCACCCTCATAAAAAGTTCGTATGTGTTCATACAATGTTTCCTTTATTAACCTGGCAGTACCATTATTATGCAAATATTGCTAATGAAGGACATATTCTTGGAAAGATATTAATTTACAGCACAGAAATTTCCCAGCTCCCACTGATAATCATTCATTTTCTGCATTGTTCTTTGGATATTTTCTGATTTATGTATAGCTCTTTAATTAACTGCCAGTGGTCTGCCAGGTTCACCAGCTAACTCCCTAGATGGAGATGGAAGACATTTCTGGAGTGGTTAATTATGTGTCCTGCTTTCTGTTACATTCTGAGTGATGACACTTAGCATTTCCAGGTTGACTTCTCCTCTAGAGAAGGATCTGTTTGACAGACTGACAAAAATAGCCAATTAATATAATTTAAGTTTAAATTGTTATCTCTGAAAAAAATTGCTCTGCCACACAGCAGTTGTCAAAAAATCCATTCAGATTCACGCCAGCATAAGGTGTGTCATCATTGAGAGTTCTCCTCATGTGAACTCTGTTGTTTGTGGGGAAGAAAGATGTAGGAATAGCATCACTTTCTACATGACTGACTTAAATTAGTTAGGTACTGAACACAGTAATTTTTCTATTTGAGTTCTTATAAGTTGAACAGGAAAAAAAAATAAAAGGAAAGAAAGAAAGTAAAAAAAAGAGTGTAAATTTGATTTCAAGCTTCTGCTTGTGTTTCCAGTAAGAAATTTGGGCAGGCCAACATTCAGAACAAACATTGCTTCATGTCTTTTCTCTCCTGGTTTGTGCTTTTCTGACTCTTCAGAAATGACTACAAGTGGTTAAAAGCACTTGCAGTCATTAGTTTGGTTTATGTGTCATTGGTTTGGTTCATGAGATTAAACCATATATATATTTACAACATATTTAAAACTGACATTCAGTAACACTGAATCTTTTTTTTACACCTGTAAAAGTGCATAAAATACGTAACTTTTGTTTCCTGAGCTACCGACTTACTACTTCGAATTTTAAGTTACTGTCATAAATAGCAAGAAGACACACAGAAAAGTGGAAAGTGAATAGAAGGTGGAAGTACAGATACATAATAAGGGCATGTAATAATACCATTGAAGGTAGGTGAGCTTCAGCATAATATCTTGTGCAAGAAGTCAGATATCTGTTTTGAAGTGGATAATCTGTCATTCCCTCTCAAATCAGTTGTCATCATTGATTGCAGTTCAGGCTTTTGTGCAGATGACCTCCTGATTTTACTGTGGTAAGTCTTCTGCCAAATCACTGATAATGTCGCTAGGGTTTGATCCTTTTATCCACTGATCTTAATTGCAACACTCCCAGAGGCTGCAAAACCAAAAGTGCAGGCTGTCTGGGAAAGAAGGTACAGAAAAATTTCACAAGTACAAAAAATGAAATATAATTAATTAGTTGTTATTTTTTACTGAGGTTTTTAGCTTGTCATTTGACTGCTGGAAAATATTAGTCTCAAACTGTTGAGTACAGAAACGCTACTGATGAAGCTTTCTGATATTAAAAAAAAATAAATTGCTGGAATTATTTTCACCTGCATTGTCAGGCACTCAGTGATGCTGTAATTGCCTCATCATCACAAGAAAAAGTTTCAAAACTTCATTACCTTGCAATGTGTGTTTTCATTTCAGCTTTTGAGAGATCAGGTTCTGTGAAGGACACAGTACAGAACAAATATCTGTTAAGAGATGCATATAGTTTGAGGGGGGTCACACTTAGACTTGTTTTCTTTCGTTATTTACTGTTAGCTGTATAATAAAAAAGACATGATTTTTTTTTTCCTAAAATGATGTATTTTGGTTTATTTGAATATTTCAGTGTATTTGTGTTGCTTTTTTAAACTGAGTGAGAAATTGTGCAAAATTAATTGAAAGAGTCTTTCTCTTTGATCCTAGGACTACAATTTAATTTTCTATGAATGCAGTGCATATTCTGGGCACAATACCAAAAAGTCTGTGCTTCACTTAGCTAGGTAAGACGAAAATACGATCTAGGAATTCTAAACATGCCTGACTGTTCCTTGTCACTGAGTGAATTTTCTTTGCTAAATTAGCTTGATAGGAACTTATGGTGATGAATTCTTTGTTCCTTTTGAATTGTTCTGTAGCCTGCCCCTGTTGTGTTCCAACTGAGCAGTCACTCAGGTTCACACAGAGTATCACGTAAACTAACTGTGTTTGTACTGTGTTTGTACTGTGGTGCCCAGAACTACACACAGTATTTGAGGTGAGGCCGTACCAGTGCAGAGTAGAGCGGGACAGTCATCTCCCTCGATTGACTAGCAATGCCATGCTTGATACACTCCAGGATATGGTTGGCCCTCCTGGCTTCCAGGGCACACTGCTGGATCGTATTCAACTTGCTGTCAACCACAACCCCCAGATCCCTCTCTGTGGGACTGCTCTCCAGCGTCTCATCCCCAGCCTGTATATATGGCCAGGGTTACCCCATCCCATGTGCAGGATCCAGCACTTACTCTTGTTAATCTTCATGCGGTTGGTGATTGTCTAGCTCTTCAGTCTATGCAGATCTCTCTGCAAGGCCTTTCCAGCCTCAACAGAGTAAACAACTCTTCCAAGTTTAGTGTCATCAGCAAATTTGCTCAAAACAACCCCAAGCACAAATACAGGGTGGGCAGAGAATGGATTGAAAGCAACCCTGATGAGGACCTGGGGGTGTTGCTTGCCAAGAAGCTCAACATGAGTTGGCAATGTGTGCTTGCAGCCCAGAAAGTCAACTGTATCCTAGGCTTCATCAAAAGAAGTGTGGCCAGCAAGTTGAGGAAGGGAGGTGATTCTCCCTCTCTGCTCTCATGGAAACCCCACCTGGAGTACTGTGTTCAGCTCTGAGGCCCCTGGCAGAAGAAGTACATGGGTGTATAAGATTGAGTCCAGAGGAGGGCCACAAAGATGACCAAAGGGCTGGAAAACTTCTCCTCTGACGAAAGGCTTAAAGAGATGTTTTTTTTTCAGCCTAGAGAAATGAAGGTTCCAGGGAGACTTTATTCCGGCCTTCCAATACCTAAGGGAGTGGGGGGGGGGAGAGGGGGGGAGGAGGGGAGCCTACAGGAAAGCAGGAGAGGGACTATTTATCAGACAGTGCAGTGATAGGAGGAGTAATTGCTTTAAACTAAAAGAAGGTAGGTTTAGATTAGATATAAGGAAAAAATTATTTTACTGTGAGGGTGGTGAGGTAGTGGGACAGGTTGCCCAGAGAAGTGTCCCCATCCCTGGAAGTGTTTAAGACCAGGTTTGATGGGGCTTTGAGCAACCTGTTTTAGTGGGAGGTGTACTTGCCTACGGCAGAAGGGGGTTCAAATTAAATGATCTTTAAGGTGTCTTCCAATGCAAACCATTCTGTGATTCTGTGAAAAGTTTGGACAATGTTCTTAGACATATAGTTTAATTTTTAGGTAGTCTTGTGTGGAGGTAGGAGCTGGACTCAATGATCCTTGTGCGTTCCTTTTAACTCAGGATATTCTGTGATTCTGTGATATAAAGGCTGGGGGTAAAAGTACTGTTAAATCTGTCCCTGTTAAACTATTTATACAGGTGAAAACACTATTAATGAAGAGGCATATCTTTAACATTGTTAAAGTTAGTGAAATTTTGGCAGAGTCAGGTAATTGATGAACATCTAGATAGCCAGTTGTGTTTTTGTTTTGCTCCAGCCTCAAAAATAACAAATGAAAGTTACTGCTCTGAATCTATCTAATATAGCAAATGCTAACAATCAGCACCAAATTCATTTTTCTAGCTAAATGAAAAAGTAAGTATTTCATGGAGCCACCATAATTATACTTCTTTTTTGTTTGTTTATTAGTTCACAAAAATCTGCCATTCTGTTAAAATTTGGACAATTTTATATATTTTTTGTACTTGGGGGAGATGTTTTTGTTTTGACCTCTTCTGTGTATTATTGAATTTTTCTCAAAAGTACTGTTTCTTTCTCCCAGGATTTTAAAGGAACATGAAGATAAAATGAAAGAGAAAACCATTGTACTTCAACCTGATGTGAATAAAAAGTCTTGCTGTATTAGGCCATAATATGCTGGGGGTATGTTTAGACAAAAGGCTCACATTTATAACACACTACATGGAACCATCAGATTTGCCTTATCTTCCAAAAATTTATTCTGCTGTGTTTGGAACGTAGATGTAAGTGATCCCCAAAATCCTTGTATGTTCTTATCTTCACATTTACACTGATTGTCTTTAGTTAGTTGCAACATGTTTGGGGCATAACAGTCTGTTATTCTGTTTTATGCCTAACACCACTGAATCCTGCTTTGTGATCAGGTTTATAGAAGCTGCTGCATTATTAATAGTAAAGAACTTTTATAGGAAGAAAACCACTTTGAAAATGAAGTAGATTTTACTGGTGTGGATGACATCTGAATAGTTCTGTTTGCTTCACTGCAGGATCAGGTTCTTCAGATCCTGATTTTGTGCTGACATTTGTCATTTGACTTTTTTTTTTTTTTTTGTGGTGGTGGTGCTTTTTTTAAAATCAAAATAGTCAGCTGCTTAGTTGCTTAAAACCCGCACACCAGCAGTTGTGAATTTCAGATGGTATTTCAAAACTTAGTGTGAAATATACATGAACAAAGAGCTGAAGAACTTTGAAGATTATCCTAAGTAGCATTAATTTATTCACACTACAAATTGTTTCATATATGTACTTGATGAGAAGCCCTTCCTCCCACCTAGATGTGCTGAATTAGGTATGTCCATACAGGCCACTGAGATACCGTGGAGCCTTGCCTGAGTTATTACCAAATAATCTGTGATGTTTGCAGGGTGAAGGGGTGCCATGGAAAGATCTAGCTTAGTTTCCAGAAACAAAAAAGTCATGGTGATACACTGGCTAATTAGCATTGCACTTGGACCAAATCAGCCCGGGCTCTTTACCGTATTTGCCATGGTTGTATTGCATTGTGTTCCAGAGCTTGATGTGAACCTCTATTGGGCTAATAGTTGCATGGTGTCCTGTAGAAGTCCAAAAGCAATCAGGTGCTAGCTTGAACATTCAAATAAATTCACTGTCATAGGTGAAAACATAGATGTACATAGGAAGCCCATTTCACTGTTATAGATGGTTATAGCACAAAACATATTATGGTCAATGGAGCAGCTTTTTGTCTCCAAAAGTCTACTACAGACGGTTTTGTGCCAAATATTCCTGAGGCAGAATTTTTAGAAATGGATCTTTTGAGGAAGATTTTGAAAAACATTATAGCGTTTGAGGAATACGTAACAAAAATCTCACTAATCTCATCTGGTGGGGTTTAATAATGTTAAGAAAAAATCCCTCTTCATCTACCAAAATAAATGACTGATTTTTTCTAAAGTATCTGCCATACAGCAGTTTGCTTTTGTTTAACCAGAGCCTGCTAACACTGAAATACATGTTCAGTGCTTGAAATCAAACCCATAGGGATTTGTTTTAGAAAACCATGGTCCACCCTGGATCATAAAAAAACACGAATGTTATAATTACTTTTGGAACCATTTATAGAATATAAAATGAAAATGAGAAACTTGAGAGTAGGTCACCCAACCAGCACATGATCAGCAGTCATTCTTGCTGGCATTTGACTTCAGTGAATCCAGCTATTGTGATAAGCATTCAAGAATGATTGTTCATGATGGTGAGTTTGTTAGCAAAGCAGAACCCATGGCATAATTTATTTCTTCAAAATATGAAGCAAAGCTATAAATATTTTATGAGAATGTTACAGACATTACATTTTCAATTCATTTTCTAAATGTTTTTAAAAAGTTATTTTTCATTGGAGTAATGAATTTGAAACTAAATGGTAAAATTAAGCAACAGTTCAATAAGTAATAATAAGTAGAATTTTTCAAATAAAAACTTTGTCAGTACATAATTGTGCTCTTTGGATTTCAGTCTGATCAAAGGTATTTATCTAGTAGCAATAATTATACGGTAAAGTTTGGAAGCTTCCACTTATAACAATTCCTATTTCACACCAGCACTTAACTGTTCTTTTTCATGAGTTGGGATCCAACTACGACCCCTTTCCCTGTCAAGTAGAATAACCAGGATTTTTCCTCACATTATCAATGTCAGATGTACCAAGTAGTCCTAGATGAGCTTAGTTGTTGCTTTTTCCGAGATGATTCCTGGGAATCTGCTCACCCAAATGAAATACCCTTCCCCTTGCTTTTATTGAGATGCATACAAACTCTCAAAGAACAAAAAGAGCATTCGTTTCTGAATAGGAACAGGTTTTCTGTTGGCTTCCCAAGACCGATTATTGATGTCTGTTACTTATTGTGAAGGGATGTGTCACTTTATCAAGTGTTACACTTTATTCGTCATGGGAATCTAGCCAGACTTGAATTGCTTGTGTCCAGTTTTGGCTGAAAGTGAACTAACGCAACCCCCTAATTTAAACCTCAATAAAAATAACTATTTATCCCAATTTCAATCAGGGAAGAAGCATCATTGATTTAATTATTGGCTTTTCTAATTGACTGCAAATATTCTCTTCCCATGCAGTAGGGTGTTTCCTACTCCATCAATGTCAGAATTAGCAATGTTTCTTCCAACCTCTATCGACCTCAGGAAGACAGTTTCAAGGCTTAATACCAGCTTTAATACAATACCACTGTATTTCACATTCAGGTCCTACATTGTTAATTCCCTGAAGACCAAACTGTTTTTGCAAGACAATGACATGTGAGTTGGATCTTCCTCATGTGACTTTTACAGGAGTGCTTTTATTTGGATGTATTTTAGTGTGCACAGAAAGTTTGCAAGCAGGATAATACGGAACTTGAGGGAAGGCAATGGTAAGGAGTGACTGAATCCTGGGACCAAGTGGATATCTTTTTCTTTGTTCACCAGAGGCAAATTTGGTGCAGTCTACTATCCATGAGATATCTTTCATCCCAGACTAATAAATATGTCTGCAGTTGTTCTTTTTCTAAAGTCCAACAAAACCCAACCTGCAAAGATAGAGATACACAACACTAACATCATCAGCTGCACAGATAACAGAGAACTGTGTCTTCACTGCTCATCACAAGCAGTGAAGCTTATGAGCTACAAAATTAGCAGGAGAGACAGGCAGGGAAGGAAGGGTGGGCGTGTTACCCTCTGTGTTAAGAAATGGATAGATTGTGAAGAGTTCCTTTTAAAAAACAGCCAAGAGCAGGTTGAGAGCCTGTGGGTAAAAATTAAGAACCAGACCAACAAAGTGTGTTGTGGCTGGAGTCTTCTACAGGCCACCTGACCAAGAGGAGTCTTTTGAAGAGGCCTTGCTCCAACTACAGGAAAGCATTGCGCTCACAGGCTCTCATCCTCCTGGGGGATTTCAACCATCTGGATGTTTACTGGGAAAACCACGCGGCAGAAAACAAGCAATCCAGGAGATTCCTGGAGTCCATTGAAGACAATTTCCTCATCCAGGTATTAGACAAAACAACCACAAGAGAGGCATTACTTGACCTGGTAATCACCAACACAGCAGAGCTCATTAAAGAAGTCAAGATTGGAGGAAGCCTAAGTTGCAGTGACCACACCCTGGCTGAGTTTGTGATCTCGAGGGATATGGGCCTAGCTAAGAGCAAAGTCAGGACCCTGAACTTCAGAAGAACCAACTTCCAACTGTTCAAAGAATTAGTGAATGAGATCCATCCCATGGGACATGGTCCTTAGGGACAGAGGATCTGATCAGAGCTGGCAAATCTTCAAGGATATTTCCTTGGAGCGCAAGAGCTCTCTATTCCCATATGTAATAAATCAATCAGGGAAGGTAGGAAACCATCGTGGCTGAATAAGGACCTGCTGGTCAAACTTAGGCAAAAGGAAATGCACAGATGGTGAAAACAGAGCCATGAGCACTAGGAAGAGTACAGAAATGCTAGATTTTTATTAATGATTGAACAGTATGGTTACTGTGGAGACTACACAGTACACATGTAACACAAGCCAGTTAGCTTAATAAGCTGCTAGCAAGTAGAAACAATGATAACTAAAATCTGGCTGCTTCACCTTCAGTGGATCATTAAATTGTCACTTCTTCTACCAAATGTCTGATTTTAAAGAAATGTGTAGGAATACATTCTAGTATTGCTGCCTGGATGTGCAGGGATGGAATCAGGAAAGCCGAGGCACTGGCAGAACTAAACTTGGTGAGGGATGCAAAGAATAACAAGAATAACAAGTTCTACAGGTACATTGGCCACAAAAGAAAGACTAAAGAGAACATATCGCCTCTGCAGATGAAGATGGAGAACTGGTAACGACAGATGTGGAGAAGGCAGAGGCACTTGACAACTTCTTTACCTCGGTCTTAACTAGTGGTCAGGCTTCCCACATCTCTCGAGTCTCTGAACCTTTAGGTGGGGGATGGGGGAGCACAGTCCCTCCCACTGTAAGTGAAGAGCAAAGTTTGGGACCTCCTGATGCAACTTAACAACTGCAAGTCTATGGGCCTTGGAGACGTGCATCCCAAGGTCCTGGAGGAATTGGCTGATGTAGTTGCCAAGCCACTCTCCATCATATTTGAAAACTCATCTGTCAGGTGAAGTCCCTGGTGACTGGAAAAAAGGAAACTCACTCACATTTTTAAAAAGGGTAGAAAGGAAGAATCAGGGAACTACAGAGCAGTGATTCCTTCTGAGATCCTTCAGATCCTCCAACTGCAACAAATGGGAGATGGAAAAGTACAGGGATGCATGTTTATCGGCAAATGTTCTGGAACTCTGTGGAGCTGGCTGGAATCCATATTTTTAATAAATTTTTTTACCCAGATCTAATTTAGTAGATCTGTTAATTGATGTGAGGTTCACCTCTTGCCCACATGCTTTCCCTTTCCAGGAGTTATTCTAAAGGTATGTTTTTAACAGGTAGGGTATGTGTGTGCTAGACTTGTAAATCATATCATGGATGTTTTTTTCATTTCTGGAAGGGATACAGGAAGGTATCAGTGATCATCCACATGCACACAAACATTGCTCAATAAACACAGATAGCAACATCCTTCTTTTCCTTTCCAGCTGATCAGGTTCAGGCAGAAATTAGTTAGAAATAAGATTTAAATAGTCTGCAGATTGTGTGCAGGGCTCAGTCAGATGCGCTCTCTGACCAACAGCTTGTTTGCATAAAACTAGCCCTTCTACTACACTTTATTTTGATTTTTACCATGCTTGTTCTTCCCCCATCCACCTTGGCCCTACCCTTTCTCTAGCCTTCATCTCTCAAAAAACAAACAAACAAAAACATTTATATTTCTGATACCATTATATGAGCAACTTTGACTTTACTTGGTATTGTCTACATAGTTACCTAGATGCTGCTGGCCTTGCAATTTCCAGTCACAAAAAAGATCCCCTCCAATTATCTGTGGATTTAGCCATCATGTAATCATATAACTCCTCCTTAATTACCTGTGAAGTCCAGACATCACTCATTGTGATATCTGTAAATATTAGCTTCTCACTTTCTTATTTGTTATATTCAAACTTTCTCATGTCAAGTCCAATAGCTACTCACAGCCTGTTTGCTTAGCTAAACCTCAGACCAGATCCTAATCATTTCTCTGAACACCTTAAAAAACAATTATTTGTTGATTAACGCTCACAGAGGATAGGTATGACTAACATGCTACAAGGCTTTACTTTTAGAAAGCTTCATCTGGCCAGCTGGTCATCAAACAGATGTGGGAAATGTAAGCCTCCAGTATTTCTTAATATTAATTATCCTCTGTCTTGCTGGGTTGCTGTTTTCTGACTCTTCACCAGGGCTTTATACCTCCTGTCAGTATTTTTCTCAAATCAGTCAGAAACCTAGTACTGTCTTAACAGCAATGATGCTTTATTTATCCTTTTTTTTTTTTTCCTTTTCCTTTTGAATTTATCTTGTTCAGAGCACCCCCATAAAAGCTCACTGGTAAAGATAAGCCAAGGTCATAATGCATTTGTTCATCATGAAACTGGACTCTGCTTCATGAAGCCTTCTCTGGTGGGTTACACAGATTTTTGGTAACACAGGTGACGGCTTTGTACTGGAACAGGTAGGAATCAAAAGCCAGTAGGAAGCGGCATACAGAGCACAAGTGTATTACGCATATTCCAACTATGCTGTGAGAGCACAAAACCAGTTTAGAAGTGACTAAAGTGCTGATACAGAAATTTTGAATACAAGAATTGGCAAAGCTGTACAGGACACTTTAGCTGCAGAATATTGTTTTGTCTCATGTCAGAGTCTTTCTAATAGTCTTTGGACAAAATTCATAGCTTGTGTAACTTCAGTGACTGTAGTATCTTCCTTTAGGGATGTAAACTGCTCCTGTAAATTTCTCTTCCTGGAAAATTGCCAACAAGAGTGAATAAGTAATTCTGCTGAAAGATTGCTTCTTACACTCAGCCAAATTCATCCCTCTTTTAAGTTCACAAGTGTAACTCCTTGACTTAGCAATCTCTCTTCTGATGCAACTTTGTGTATAGTATTGTGTATGTGTAAGTTCACAAGTAGTGCTCACCCATGTGAACCTTTTGAGAGGATGATCAGCTGGTAGGAGAAAGTGGAAGAAATGGTTCTTCTCCATCTTGTCAGGTACCTTGTACTGACTCATCTCTGTGTATCACGCATGATGCAAATACTATCGCAACAGAGCACCAGCTCAACATGAGCTGGCAACGTGCACTTGGAGCCCAGAAAGCCAGCTGTATCCTGGGCTGCATCAACAAAAGCATGGCCAGCAGGTCATGGGAGGTGATTCTCCCTCTCTACTCTGCTCTCAGGAAATCCTACCTGGAATACTGCGTTCAGCTCTGGGGCCCCTGGCACAAGAAGTACATGGACGTATAAGAACGAGTCCAGAGGAGGGCTGCAAAGATGACCAAAGGGCTGGAACACTTCTCCTCTGAAGAAATGCTGAGAGAGCTGGGGCTGTTCAGCCTGGAGTAGAGAGACTTTATACTGGCCTTTCAGTATTTAAGGAGGGAGGGGGGCCTACAGGAAAGCAGGAGAGGGTCTATTTATCAGAGAGTGCAGTGATAGGAGAAGGAGTAATAGCTTTATTCTAAAAGAAGGTAGGTTTAGTTTAGATATAAGGAAGAAATTCTTTTACTGTGAGGGTGGTGAGGCACTGGAACAGGTTGCCCAGAGAAGCTGTGGATGCTCCATCCCTGGAAGTGTTTAAAGCAAGATTAGATGGGACTTTGAGCAACCTGATTTAGAGGTAGGAGTCCTTGCCCACAGCTGGGGGGTTGGAACTAGGTGATCTTTAAGGTTCCATTCTATGATTCTATGACCAATAAAATAACAGCTATGTCTCCACCAACTACCACAAAAGAAATAGAAACTTTCTTATAGGTGTTGTTTTGTTTTGTTTTGTTTTTTTGATGTATTTAACAAATTGGAGCCATTTGAGAATATATATTAGAAATTACAGTCTGATTGTAAGCCCTGGATCCCGTGACATAGAAGAACAATTTCAAATGGGGCCCTGAGCAATGAGAAGCTTTTGAACAAAGTACAGTAGCCCTTGGGCCAGGCTGGACAGGATAAGGTGAAAAAAAAGTGCTTTATACCACAGCAGGGGAGCAAGCTCCCACCAAGAGCCTGTGGCAGCAAGCACCCCTTTGGAATTTTGCAGTCAGGGATACAGATAATCTGTGGCCTGCTGTACTCCAACTGAAAAAGAGATACTAGCAGCATATGAAGGGGGTTGAGCTGCTTCTGAAGTAGTTGGTAGTGATGCACAGCTCCTTTTGGATCCTCGATTAACTTTGCTGAATGTTCAAAGGAAGGATGTCCTCTACACATCATGCAACTGATGCTACATGAAGTAAGTGGGTCACACTGGTAACACAACAAGGTTGGATAGGAAACCCCAGCCAGACACAAATGTGGGAGCTGATCATGGACTGGCAGGGATTTCAGAACATCACCAGAGGAGGAGGTGATGCCTGATGAAGAGATCCCACTGTGTAATAGACTACCAGAAAATGAGAAGCAATATCTCCTCTTCGCTGATGGGTCCTGTAGTATTGTAGGAAAGCATCAGAGATGGAAAGCTGCTGTATGGAGCCCTAAACAAGAAGTCACAGCAACTGCTGAAGGAGAAGGTGAATTAAGCCAGTTTGCAGAAGTGAAGGCCAGCCAGTTGGCTTTAGGTACTGCTGAATGGGAAAAGTGGCGAGTGCTTTAACACTTTGCTGACTCAGGGATGGTGGCAAGTGCCCTGTGGGGGTGGTTACAACTATGAAAGCAGAGTGATTGGCAGCACAGAGGCAAACCTATCTGGGCTGCCATACTGGGGCAAGAGATTGCTGCCTGTGTAGAGAACGTGGCTGTAAAGGTACATCACATAGATGCTCACATACCCAAGAGCTGTGTCACTGAAAAATATCAAAACAAGCAGCAGGTGGATCAGGATGCTAGACTTGAAGTGGCTTAGGTGGATCTCGACTAGAATTGTAAGGGTGAATTATTTATATCTTGTTGGGCCCGTGGCACCTCAAACCATCAAGGAAGAGATGCAACATATAGATGGGCTCATGACTGAGATATGGACTTGACCGTAGACATCGCTGTATGGGTTATCCATGAGTGCAAAACATATACCACAATCAAGCAAGCCAAATAGTTAAAGCCTCTCTGGTATGGAGAACATTTAGTGACTTAAATATGAAGAGGCCTGGCAGATTGACTATATCCCTCTACCACCAACCTGTCAAGGTAAACACTATGTACCAGCAGTTGTGGAAGCAAATACTCGATTGTAGGAAACATATCCTGTGCCCCATGACACCACCGAAAATGCTGTCCTAGGCCTTGAATAGCAAGTCTTATGGAGACATGTCACCCCAGACAGAAATAAATCAGACAGTGAGACCCATTTCTGAAACAACTTCATATACACCTGGGCCAAAAAGCATGGTATTGGCCAGGTATATCATATCCCTTATCATGCACCAGCCTCCAGAAAGTTGACCAATACAATGGACTGTTAAAGACTACTCTGAGAACAATGGATGCTGGGACATTCAAGCACTGGGATACACATTTAGCAAAGGCCGCTTAGTAAGTTAGCACTAGAGGATCTGCCAGACAATCTGACCCCAATCAATCAAAATTTTTACATACTGTAGAAAGGATTAAAGTACAGGTAGCACGCATTAAAAACTGCCTGAGAAACACAGTCTGGGTTACTCTTGCCTTGGAAAAAGTCAAACTCATCTATGGGAAGAGTCAAACTCTGCTGCAGCTGCTGTATGTCATGTCAATTCTACTACAGCAGTCATCTGAACTAGTGAAGAATCTTGTAAGGAACCAGGCAAATGCAGTGGTGATAGAACCAGAGCTTGCCTCAGCATGCAAAAATTGAATGCCACACACCATCTGTCTGTCCTGAAGGACCACTATGATAGACGGAGCCAAAAGTCATGGATTAAATGACCTCAACAGGCGTTTTAAAGATATAACCAATAGACTAAGGGAATGAGATCTGTGTGTATATATAAAAGGTTGGGAAAGGTGGTGGTGATTAATGAGGATGCCCTGGAAAGTGTAGGCGTAAGCATGATGTAAATGGTATGGAATAAGGGGTGGAGTTTATCCTGGTTTTGTTGGGATAGAGTTAATTTTCTTGTTAGTATCTGTTATGGTGCTGTGCTTTGGATTTAGGATGAAAATAATGTTGATAACATACTAATATTTTATTTGTTGCTGATCAGTGCTGTTCAGTGAGAGAATCAAAGTGTTTTCTGTTTCTAAAGTTGCCTACTAGCAAGTAGGCTGGGTGTGCACA